AGATAAATTTTTAATTAAAAAAAATTTTTTTAGCAAGATAAAAAATCTTTAAATTGGACAAAAATTTTACTTAATATACAAAGCGCAAATGCTGTGCCTCAACGTATAAATAATGAACCAATGCAAATTTATTTGGTTTGTTCATTAAAGGTCGGTTATTGATAGAATACTCGTTTTGGGGTGTGATCAGATTTATCAGAAATTAGGTTAGAAAATCAGAATTATTTTCAGAATTAAATTTCAGAATTATAAAATTAAATCAGAATTTTCTGATATTAATCAAGAATTTATTCCAGAATTTAAATTAGAATTTCTGAATAAATCAGAATTTTTCAGAATTATTTTTTAGAAAAATCAGAATTTCTGAATAAATCAGAATTTTTCAGAATTATTTTTTAGAAAAATCAGAATTTCTGAATAAATCAGAATTTTTCAGAATTATTTTCAGAAAAATCAGAATTTCTGAATAAATCAGAATTTTTCAGAATTATTTTTTAGAAAAATCAGAATTTCCGAATAAATCAGAATTTTTCAGAATTATTTTTTAGAAAAATCAGAATTTTTTAATTAAAATCAGAATTTAGATCAGAATTTAACTTTAAAAAATCAGAATTTTAATTTTTTAAAGGGTCAAACCCAAATAACCTCTATAAGTGATGGTCATCAACCTAACTGGCATGAAACTTTAATTTTTGATATTCAATTAAATGAGGAGGAAGATGAAGAAACGATTTTGACAGTTGAATTATTTGATAGAGAAATAAAACCTTTTGAGGGGGATGATAGAGAAGTAGATATAAGGTGCTTTTCTAATTTTTTCAGAATTTGTTCTGATATTTTCTGATTTAATCAGAAATTCTGATTTTCCTTTTCTGGAATTGTTCTGATTATTCCCCTAAATTCTGATTTTTAAAAATCAGAATTTTCTGACTTGACCAGAATAAAACAAAATTCTGGTCAGAATTCTGATTTAGAAATCAGAATTTTATGATTTAATAAAAATTCTGATTTTCAGAAATTCTGATTTTTCAAAATTTATTTTTTAAAGGCACGAACGTGTAGAGAATCGATGGCTTGGTTTTGGACAAATTTTATTAAATTCAAAAGCTCTCAACTATTGGACAAAGACAAAATTGGATGGATATTTATCTTTACAAACACCTCTTTTTTATACTGGTTATAAGTGAGAAATTTTGTTAAAAAATTTTTCTGATTTTTTTAAATCAGAATTGTGGCGAATTCTGATTTTAAAAATCAGAAAAAATCAGAATTTTAATTAAAAAAAATTTTAAAGTTTGTCATCAAATGAAGAAGGACTTCCTACAACCCTTCGTATACGTTTAAGTGTTGAACGCCAATCATTTATTACCCGATTAAGTGCCTCTGAACAATTACAAGAAAATACGCTTGGTGAAACTGATGTTTGTATATTTTAATAAAATCGAATTGTAAAATTTTTAAAAAATTCTGATGAATCAGAATTTTATTTGATCCTGGTTTGAATCAGAAAATCATAATTCTGATTTATATAAAAAAATCAGAATTTTTTGATTCTGATTCACATCAGAGAATCAGAATTCTGGTTTGAATCAGAAAAATTAAATCAGAATTATTTTTGAAAATTCTGAAAGAATCAGAATTCTGATATTTAAAAAATATTTATTTTTCAGTTAATTACAACAGAATGTCTTAAATTAGAATCAAAATTACGTCAACGGTTCCCGAATAGAAGGATAATTTCTTTGGCTATTAATTCAAGTGGGAGAAGAATTGTAATATGTAAATATTTGAGGGAAATAAATCCACCAATTCAAATAATTAATTTATTTAATTCTGGACAAAATAAAAATGCTGTTAAATTGGCTTGTAAGTTGGTTGCCTTAATTCCGTTAATTAATGAAAGGATGGAGAAATTAAAAGAATTTGTATTACCTATTTGGTTAACTGTTGAAGAGGTAATGAAAGGAAGGAATCAGAATTTAATATTAATCAGAATTTTTTAAAAATAAAATCAGAACAAATTGTGAGGGTCTGAATTTCATAGGAAAGAAAAATCAGAATTCTGATTTCTAAAATATCAGAATTCTGATTTTTAAAAGTATCAGAATTTAAAAAATCAGAATTCTGATTTATTTTCTTTTTCAAATCAGAATTTTATTGGATCAGAATTCTGATTTTTAAATAAAAACCAAAATCAGAATGAATCAGAAAATAATTATTAAAAAACCAGAATTCTGATTTTGTATAATGTAAAGATTTTTTTACTCGACAGGTTATTCGCATTGGTTTTGCCTGTGCTGATGAATTGGCAATAGTTTTATGTTGTTGGCTTTTGGGGCTTAAATTAAATTGTTATATTTTGCTGGGATCTACATTATCTAATGGCCCCAACAGTGCTTTTGTGTTAATTCAATTTAGTGATGGAGAGCAGTGGATAATTGATCCAACTTGTGGTCTGTTTTGTGAATATTTAGAAGAACCAAGACCAGAATAATTTAGAAAATTCTGATTTAAAAAATCAGAATTTTTAATTAATGAAAATAAAATCAGAATAAATCAGAAATTTAATCAGAAAAAATTTTTTTGTGATGAATTTTTTCAAAAAAAATTTTTTTGCAAGGAAAATTAGAATTCTGATTTAAAAAATTCCATATTATTGAAACAAATGAGATTCTAAAAAATCAGAATTCTGATTTATTTTTTTTATTAGGTCACCATTATTCTCCAACAAATCCCAACTGTCCTCAATTATCAATTGGTACAATATTTAACAATAAAAATATATTTATTAATATACAAAATGATGAACACCCTTCTCAATTAAATTTTGATTTTACAAAGAAGAATAATTGGGAAAATATTTTTTGTCTTGAAAAATTGTCAACAACTACTACTACTAGTCAAGTTTTGGCTTCTATTCAAGTAGAAAATAATTTTTTTAAGTAAAAAAGAATTTTTTTGAAGTCAGAATATTTACAATATGAACCTTTGAAAGAAATTAGTTCAAGTTTTTTATTAGAATTGAGAACAAGTTTAGAAAGAGAATTACGCTTAGCATTTGATGAAACAAGGCCTTTTGCTATCCCTCAGTGGAATTTGTTGGCTTCTAGGTAAGGGGGAAAGAGAGTGTGCGTGTTTCATAAATTAAAAATCAGAATTATTTTGTGTTTTTATATTATTTTTTGATAATCAGAATTATTTTTATAAAAACACAGAATAAATTTTTTAGTCAAAAAAATACAAATCAGAGACAGACACTAAAAATCAGAATTAGTAAAAATAAATTTTTGTGTTTTAGAAATTAATGTCAGAATATTTTTTGTATTTTCTAAAAATACAATTCTGGTTTTTTAAAGTTGCATGGTGTATTTCTGTATTTTATCAGAATTTTTATTTAAAAAATACAAAATTTCAAAAATCAGAATTTGTTGTATTTTTATTAATTTTAAAAATCAGAATTTAAGATAAGTAAAACAAATCAGAATTATTTGTATTTTTTTGTATTTTACAAATCAGAATTATTTTTAAAAAATACAAAACTTTAAAAATCAGAATTGAAAATACAATCCTATTGGATAAAAATCAGAATTTATTTGTGTTTTTAAAAATAAATAAAATCAGAATTCCTCTTTATATTTTTTTTATTTTTAAGAAATCTTCGAGAATTTTTGTCTGATTTGTTTGCATCTAATTTTTTTGATGATGAAAATATTCAACAACAACAACAACAAAAATTATCAGAAAATTATTTAATTGAACAACATTTAAAACCTCTTCTTTCATCATTTAAAATTTGTTTAATTTCATTTTGTCGTCCTTTTATTAACAAAAAACAAATAATTGAAGCGCTACTTCGTCTAAAATTACAACAAAATTCTCATTCTAAAACTCAATTTGCTTTGGCAGTTTATTTAAAACCTTTAATGGGAAGTATTATTAGTTGTTCTGTTGTTATTTGTACATTAATTCCTATTGTATAAAATGTATTCGTACGTGAGTACCAGGGATGGGACCCTTTTACCATATTTATAGAGGATTTTCCCTATTTTTGACCTTTTCGTCATATTTTTCCCTATTTTCTCATTTTCCCTATTTTTGCCACATTTTTACCAGCTTGTAAAATTTTAAAAATTCTTCGGATTTTGTAAGAAAAATGGTAAAAATGAAGGATTTCTGACTTCCTTGCCTTCCAAAATCCTTAAAAATTTTGCCTGCGGCTGGTGAGTCCCCTCTTTGAAGCTGCAAAAAATTTTTTCTAGTTCTAAGAGTTGTACTATAAAGGATAGCAATATGAATAGTACCAGTCACGATAATACCCATAAATATAAAATCGTTCAAGCAAAAAGAGCTTGTCCAAAAATTTCAAATTTATATTTTTATTTAATTTTTAAAATTATTTTCTTTTTTTTTTAATTTTGTTTCTTCTTTGGTGGATTTTAATTTAACGATTTCACTAATACTAATGAAGCTGCAAGATATAAGTCGGCTGAACCCATTCTTGAAAATATAGCCAAAGATTGGTTGAGACTTGAAGTACTGACTCTGATGCAAGGTTGTTAAACTGCTCAACCCCATCCTACACAACTGAGACTGTTCATTTTTTGGGCTGAAAGGAAACCTTTGTTGGCCTTACAATTCGTGTCTGATAAATTGGTGACTGGAGCGCTACCGTGCGCCACTCTGCCTCGATCAACTATAACTTTTTAATCATTGATTCAATCCAAGTAAATCATATATGATTCGAAAGCCCTCGATAAGCTGTATTTTTTTCCAATTGGATGGATCTAGTCTGATCACTCATTAAAACGACAACCCTGCTTTAATTTTCTATTTTTTTATTTTCCAATTAAATATTTTAATTTTGCATGTTTACTGCTGTAAGATCAATTCAGTAGAGTTTATAAAATAATTTTTTGGTTGAGTAACTCTAGCAGAATTTATCCTTGTAAGTTTAGGAAAGCAGCATTGTTGGAAGAGAAAAGATATTCTTTTTAATATTTGAACTTCTGCGGTAAAATATTATTTTTTTGGCGTTCTGTCTTTTTTTTTGTAAAATCTTACTATAAAAGCCTAAGGGAAGTAGTACACTCTTTCCGAAACCTTTTCTTCTGGTGGTGGTGGTGGAGGAGGAATTCATCGACATCAACTTCAGAACAACATCTTTATTAGTATCTTAAAAAATTATTTTGGGAAGGGTTGGGAAATCATTATTGTAGTACTCCTTAGTTATAATTAGAGATTAGAATGAAAGTGTCGCACGAGAATTGAGATTAATATCTCAAAAAATCTCGATTCTCGATAGCCTCAACACATTGAAAAGAGGAAAGGGACTGTTGCCTTCAAAAATGAGTATAGGACTTTTCCTTCTTATAAGTCGCTTGAGGGTATACTCAAACGTAAGGGAAAAGTTAATGGGAAGGTTTTTTTAAACAATGGTACAAGTTGTTCCCCAATCCTTTCCGCTCTGCTGTCTAATGGGAGTACAGCCCAAAACGGCGCGCGGCCATAACGGCGCAAAGCTATAACTTGTTGGGAAATTTCTGGCCCTTATCAATTTTGGAATCAATCTCTTTAGCTTGATGAGTGGAGTCATTTAATACTAAATTTGGTAAGATTCGGAAATCTTGAATCAGTTTATGGCTTTGCGCCGTTTAGGCCGCACGCCGTTTGTCCACCAAAATCATTTTTTAAAGTTATACTTCGGCATCTTCAACTCCACTCAACCCCAAGGCTAACCGTGAAAAGATGACTCAAATCATGTTTGAGACATTCAACACGCCTGCCATGTATGTTTAAATGAAATAAGATTTTCAATCCAATCTTTTAATTTTTTTCCAGGTATGTTGCCATCCAAGCTGTTTTTTCTTTGTATGCTTCTGGACGTACTACTGGAATTGTTCTTGACTCTGGAGATGGTAAAAACAATTTAAACTTTAAAAGCCCTTGAAAAATTTTCTTTTTCTTCAGACAGCCGAACGTGAGATTGTCCGTGACATAAAGAAGCTTTGCTATGTTGCTTTGGACTTTGAGCAAGAGATGGCTACAGCTGCTTCGTCTTCTTCTTTGGAAAAGAGCTACGAATTGCCTGACGGTCAAGTTATTACTGTTGGAAACGAGCGCTTCCGTTGTCCAGAATCTCTCTTCCAGGTTTATTCTTATGCTTTGACCTCTTCCCTCTTAAATAAAAATTTCAATTTTAGCCATCTTTCTTGGGAATGGAATCAGCAGGTATTCACGAGACTTCTTACATCATCACAAAAAGAATAAAAGAGGGAAAATTTAAAGTTTTTTTTTTAATTTGACAAAATTTTTGGTATTTTTTTAAATTTTTTTAAAGAAATTTAAATTAGGAAATTTGGTATAATTTTTTCTTGGGGATTACTCTACTTGGGTTTGATGGTTATATACCATCTTCTAAGTTGATTAGGTTATCGTAAAATGGTTAAATGGGGATTGAATTGAACAAAATTGAAAAAACCAAACCCATGGATTTAGTAATGAACCTTTTAGATATTTTACCTGAAATCTCTTTTGATGATTTTTATAAACAAAAATACCAAAAACAGAATTATTGGAGGGATTAATCGTATCCTCATTTTACAAATTACCCACCCCAAAATAATATAACGCGGCTCCTTTCAACGACAAACCAACTTGGGGAAAAAGAATATTCAGGGGTGAAATTGTTGGGATCCCCTAAAAACACATTTAATTTGAATTAAAAATTTTTAGCATAGTTTCGTGATTGTCATTTGGGTCAAAAAGTGTATCGGTTAAATTCCCAAGAGTTTGAAAAAAGGTTTCTATCACGAATAAAATAAATGGGGAGGAAAATGAGTGCCTGAGGCTGTTTGAAAAAGGAAATAAAATTAAATTACCAGCTTTGCATGTTTTGTGAGCCCCTAGTTATATTTAATTTTCCAGAACTTGCCAAACTTAAAACCTAACGACGTTTTGTTTCCACAAGGTATTATATATATTTTGTTTACTAAAGAAAATTTGTTCTTGTTTAAGCAACCGCTTATTTTGATTTAGTTTTTTTGGTGTTGAAGGATTTAAAGGCCATGTCCAAAATATGCCGTTAAAGATTATACCTTCTCTTCGAATACCTTTCCTCCTATCGAAATGTTTGTTTCCACACGTTTTGACATGGGATGTACTTTATTATTCTTTGGAAAGACCACCTTTTTTGTTGGATAATATTGCTTTTGATTCTTTTCCAGACGTTTTTTCTTTTGCTGACAAGTAAAAGATTCCATTGGCGTTACTTTTGACATTGACGCCAATGGAATCTTTTACTTGTCAGCAAAAGAAAAAACGTCTGGAAAAGAATCAAAAGCAATATTATCCAACAAAAAAGGTGGTCTTTCCAAAGAATAATAAAGTACATCCCATGTCAAAACGTGTGGAAACAAACATTTCGATAGGAGGAAAGGTATTCGAAGAGAAGGTATAATCTTTAACGGCATATTTTGGACATGGCCTTTAAATCCTTCAACACCAAAAAAACTAAATCAAAATAAGCGGTTGCTTAAACAAGAACAAATTTTCTTTAGTAAACAAAATATATATAATACCTTGTGGAAACAAAACGTCGTTAGGTTTTAAGTTTGGCAAGTTCTGGAAAATTAAATATAACTAGGGGCTCACAAAACATGCAAAGCTGGTAATTTAATTTTATTTCCTTTTTCAAACAGCCTCAGGCACTCATTTTCCTCCCCATTTATTTTATTCGTGATAGAAACCTTTTTTCAAACTCTTGGGAATTTAACCGATACACTTTTTGACCCAAATGACAATCACGAAACTATGCTAAAAATTTTTAATTCAAATTAAATGTGTTTTTAGGGGATCCCAACAATTTCACCCCTGAATATTCTTTTTCCCCAAGTTGGTTTGTCGTGGAAAGGAGCCTCGTTATACTATTTTAGGGTGGATAATTTGTACAACGAGGATACGATTAATCCTGCCAATACGGCTGTTTTTGGTATTTTTGTTCATAAAAATCTCGAAAAGAGATTTATTAACGACAGAAAAACCAATTTAGCCATTAAATTTTTTGAGTTTTTTTTATTTAATTTAAATTTCTTCAATAAAATTTTTTTTTCGGTAAATTTTTTTTTGATAAATTTACATTTTTTATTAAATTTTTGTTTAATTTGTTAATTAACTATATTTTTATCTTTCATTTCTTTTCATTTTTTTTATTTTTCATTTTAAATTTTTTTAAAATTTAATTTGGATACTTTTTGGGAGTGACAACTCCGTGTTTTGACACCCTTTATCAAAAGCATATTGTTCAACCCTAATTTTTTAATTTTATTATAGATCTTGAAAGGTTTTTACAATAACAAACCAAACTTCAATTCGATCATTCTTTTCTTTGAATGTCGAGGGGAGGGGGCTCTACAGAAGAAGATTTTCTTTTGGGCACACCTAGTAACCGATCAAGAATCTCCTTAGAGATCGATCACTCTCTCGATTTACAAATTGATCACTCTCTGTTGATTAATTTGTTAGCCAAATTGATCCAATTTAAGTTTGTTTTGTTTTCGGTGGTGATTATATGCTTTTGATACATGGGGTCATCGATGTTTTGGGAGTAGACAATTCGATAGTGGACACTTGGGTGGTTAAGCCTTTTCAATCCTTTTCCCTCTTGAAATTTATAATTTAATCGAGACACGGCAAATTTCTGGACGAATTGTCTACTTACTTTCCAATTGTTCAAGCATTAATTTTCTTTTTACAGCTTTTTAAAAATTATGTTAATAAAAATTTTATTCAAAAATTGCCAAAGAAATTTTAACAACAATATTTTTTTTCGTGGATTATCAACATTAAAAGAAAAAGTTAATTTGCCTAAATCAGAAGATTTGTATGAACCAAGGTTTTTCTTTGAAAATAAAATTTTTAGAAATTTTTTTGATTTTTTTTTGAAAGGTTTGAGGTCAAGCGCCATTACCCGGATCTACAATTGATTAATGTCAAATTGAAGGCATTCGACTTCCAAATGTTGGAGAAGTTTCAAGTTTTTGTCCATTGGACAGCTGAAAATTTTGGTTTTGATGTTGTTGAATGGTTTATTTTTATTTTAATTTTTTTGGGAAAAATTCGATTTTTGGGTTGTGAGTTAGATATGTCGTTTCTCCCATTTTTTTCCGAATTTTATTTTTAATTCGTTTTGGCATTTGATTTTTACGTTGTCTTTTGTTTTTCTTCAAAAGACAACAATTGGCACATCCTTGGTACAAACAAGCATATTTTTTTTTAATTTTGGAAAATTAAATATGCCGATCAGGGCTGTACGCAAGTGAAAAAAAGATTCCGCAATTTGCAATTGCGTGCAGCCCTGATGCCGACTTGAGTTTTTTTCAGTAACGTCATATTTATTTTCGGACAATTTTTCCGTTCCATTTGGACTAAATTTTTTTGGCCCAATTTTTTATTTGAGAATCGATCTGAAGAAAATTTTTAGATAAAACCCCAAAATGAAACCTGGCCAGACATTTTCTTTCTCAATCTGCCCCCATCTCTGACCTTTTTTAATAAATATTTTAGCTCCTCAATTTTTATTTTATTTTCTAGTTATCCATTGGCTCATAAATGTGAAAAAATTAAAGAATTCAGACCTAATTCAGTTACAATTTCTACCGAATATGAACTCAAAACATATGCAAGAGTTGTTAGAATTGGGCCTGTTCCAGCAATACAACTTCCATTATTTGTTATGATGGTTCAAGCAAATGCTCCTGTAGGTGTTCAAGTAAATATTAAAGAACATGAAGCTAGTGATGAAGTTGAAAGGTTTTTTTTAAATTAGCTTGGGAAAGGAATTTTTTGGGGGAAATGTATTGGGTTAAAAATGGGCTTGGGACTTGTTCCTGCAGATTAGTCTTTTTGGGGTCTAAATTTGGGATCTGATATTTCGGGAGTTTCACGACCGATCTTAAATATGTTTTTAAATGTGTGTTTTTTCTTACCAAAATTAAACCGGTTGTTAACTCAAAATTCAAAACCAACTTTTTTAAATTGGGATTGACCGACGACGGAGAGTAGGGTGGAGGCTAACTCAAGGAATACCAACTCAAGGAACAGACAAGTCAAGGAAAAGACAGGGGTTGGTATGTTCTTTGACTTGTCGTTCCTTGATTTGTCGTTCCTTGACTTGTCGTTCCTTGACTTGTCTGTTCCTTGAGTTAGCCCGACATGGGAGAGTATAGGTTAGTAACCGATCGCCAACAATTCTAAAAAAGTAAAAGTTTTTGAAAAATTTTTATAAAATTAATAAATCTATTTTTAAAGGTACATACCGGATCCTCAATTGGAAGATCTAAAAGAAACTCTTCGGAATCTTGATGATCCTGTTGTTAGAAAATTTTTGGGATGGGAAGCTTAATTTTTTGGTTTTTGTTTGTTTGTTTATTTTTTAAATACATCAAATAAGCACTCTCATCTCTAACTATGACTGAGAAACCCAATAGCTAGAGGTTGACAAGAAAATAAGGTTTAATTAAAAATTATACCCTCAAGTAGTAAAGCATTACTTGTAAACAGCAAGAGTTGGCTAACAAACAGGTTTATCATGATTTTCGCCTGCGGCGCTAAAAATAGAAGAAATCTGGCTTCTTTTGCTCTAAAATTCTCAAAATTTTTGCCTGCGGCGCTAAAAGGTAAAAATTTATGTACAAAAAATTTGCGTTCGTAACGCCAAATTAAACACCAAGATTTCGGCGCAATCCCCATGTTATATTAATATTTTAGAAATTTCTAAATCATGTAATAAAAACTAGAGAAAATTTTTGATTAAAAATAAAAAAGGCATTTTCGAAAAATTTCGGAACCAACTACCGGCTAAAGTACAGCTAGCACTATAATATTTGTCTAATTCTTATTTAACCTTTTTCAGACTTTGGGCAATTCAACTGACACTATCTATGAACCAAACGATCCTTCAGAAATTGACAAATAAAATTTTTTAATTCATAAATTAAATGTTTTTTAGGACATGCCAAATATTTTGCCTGTTGAATTGGCTTTTCAAAAGTATTAACCTGGGAGCAAATCAAACAATTTTATTTTGAAGATGATCAACCTTACACTATTTTAGGTATTTATAAAACATGAGCCAAATTTGGGGTTTAAAAGAAAGTTTTATTGCCAAAACATCATATCTAACATGGAAGAAAATTTCTTCCCAAGTCCACCCAACATTTGGAAATAAAACGTCTATTGGCATCATAGTTGGAATATTCTGAATTAAAAAACTGGTCAAGTTGCCTTTTTTCCTATGGTAGAAAAGCTTTTTTTCCTAAGTTAGAAGGACTTAGGAAAGTTAGTCAAAGCTTATTAACCACCGGCTAAAGTTAAATTCTATTTAATGTCATACAATGTTTGAATGATGAACGTTTTGTAAATACCAGATTTCAATAATAAAGTCGGTGATGTTTTGGACTTTCTTCATACGGAAAGAACAATTAGAATGCTCCGCACAATCGTAGTACATAATATAAATATCTTCATTTGGATTTTCTCGGCGACGTACTTTAAATTTTTGATAATTTGCATCTGTTATCCACCAAGTACAATATGTATTTGAATCATAAAAAGTTGTATCTTTAAACCAGATTTCTGCCATTTTGTATTTTTTGAAATTATCCGCTATCCATGGATTAACAAACCAGGGATTATCTACCCAGCTTTTTTTGATATCTTTTTATTAACTATTAGGGTTTAACGGTTATTAGTTTGTCTTTTACATTTTTCCCTTTTTTCAGATAATTTCAAAAAATACAAAATGGCAGAAATCTGGTTTAAAGATACAACTTTTCATGATTCAAATACATATTGTACTTGGTGGATAACAGATGCAAATTATCAAAAATTTAAAGTACGTCGCCGAGAAAATCCAAATGAAGATATTTATATTATGTACTACGATTGTGCGGAGCATTCTAATTGTTCTTTCCGTATGAAGAAAGTCCAAAACATCACCGACTTTATTATTGAAATCTGGTATTTACAAAACGTTCATCATTCAAACATTGTATGACATTAAATAGAATTTAACTTTAGCCGGTGGTTAATAAGCTTTGACTAACTTTCCTAAGTCCTTCTAACTTAGGAAAAAAAGCTTTTCTACCATAGGAAAAAAGGCAACTTGACCAGTTTTTTAATTCAGAATATTCCAACTATGATGCCAATAGACGTTTTATTTCCAAATGTTGGGTGGACTTGGGAAGAAATTTTCTTCCATGTTAGATATGATGTTTTGGCAATAAAACTTTCTTTTAAACCCCAAATTTGGCTCATGTTTCATAAATACCTAAAATAGTGTAAGGTTGATCATCTTCAAAATAAAATTGTTTGATTTGCTCCCAGGTTAATACTTTTGAAAAGCCAATTCAACAGGCAAAATATTTGGCATGTCCTAAAAAACATTTAATTTATGAATTAAAAAATTTTATTTGTCAATTTCTGAAGGATCGTTTGGTTCATAGATAGTGTCAGTTGAATTGCCCAAAGTCTGAAAAAGGTTAAATAAGAATTAGACAAATATTATAGTGCTAGCTGTACTTTAGCCGGTGGCTGGTTCTAAAATCTTTCGAAAACGCCTTTTTTTATTCTCGATCAAAAATTTTCTCTAATTTTTGTTACTTGAAATTTTTTTTTCGGTAATCATAATGATCCTGTTGTTAGAAAATTTTTCTGATGGGAGGCTTATTTTTTGGGGTTTTTTTTGTTCGTTTATTTTTTGAATATTAAATAAAATTTTATTAATTAAAAAAATATTTTTTTTAATTTTGTTTTTAATCATTCTTATACATATTTTTTCAACTTTTATTTAAAATATTTTTCAGCTTTTTTATTTCTTTTTTAAAATTAGAAACAATGCAATTTAATAATAATTTATTTCCGGATGTTTCAATTGATAAAGCTTCAAAAATTAATTTTATGCTTGTTGGTGTTTCAATTGCTGGGACTTGGTTTGTTATTTATCTTCATGAATTAGTTACTCGTTCTCCGAAGCCGTTGATTAAAAGGTTTTTTTTTTAATTTTTTTGGGATTCTAATTTTAGGATTAGGGCTGTTGACTTTTCTTGAATAATAATTGTTTAAAATTTGTCCTTTGTGGTCTAGCTGGAAATTTAGGTTTTTTATTGAATTTTTTTAAAAAATTTTTATAAAGTCAATTTCCATTACAAGAAGGTCGACCCAATTGTAGGTTCACGGTGGAACGGGGGTTAACCTTTAGGCGTTCTTTTGTCGTTAGGAAAATAAGCGCAGTTTTGGTCGCTCCGGCTTTGACTAACTCTGGAGCCGTTTATATTTTTCTAATTTTTTAAATTTTTAAGATTCAAAGCTTCATGTTTCTCAATTTTACGTAAATTTGTTCCAAGCATTAACAAACAAATTGAAGAAGCTTTAAATAAAACAAAAGAAGAGCTTATACATTCAATTCATCAATATGATAAAGGTTTAGATTTTATTAGAGAAATGCCTTTAAAAGCAATAAATCATGAATCTATACTTAAACAAATTGAATATTATCAAGAAATGGAAGGAACTTTTGATTATATTAAGGTTTGTTTTTTTTGGAGGGTGATGTTTTTCGGGGTTCTTTGGTTGGTTTTAGAGTGATTTTAAAAAATTAGTTTTTAAGCTGGAGGGAAATGTTGTTTGTTAATCGTCAAAATTCCGTGGGGGGGGGGGGGGGTGTTGGCGTTTATTTACTCGAACCGATAACCTCGTGTCCAAACACGGTCATAATTGAAAACAGGCGATAGCGGTTAATCCGTTGCCGGTTAATAAGTAACTTCGCCAACACAACTCCTAGTCATAACCCTGCTGCCAATTTTTGACTTTGTTGGTACTTATCTCGAAATTGAAAAGTTATACATATAAGGATTCAGGTTTCTGATGACTGTTTAAAAAGACTTTGAGGCCCTTTAACATTTTTTTAATTTCAAAAAATCTAATTTAAACCTTTACAATGAGCTATAGTTCTTCATTCTTTTGTTTTTCTTCTAATACAAAATAATTTTTAAGGGAAGAGTTTCTGGAACAGTTTACACAAATATTGATCCATCTCATATGGCGATTCTTGGAGAAGTTTTTCACAAATTTGCTTATTCAAATCCTTTACATCCAGGTTTTTTTTAATTTTTTTTTGATAATAAAATAAATTTTAAAGATGTCTTCCCAGCGGTTCGCAAAATGGAAGCAGAAATTATTAAGATTGTGTCGTCTTTGTTTCATGGTCCTGAAGAGGCTGTTGGAACGGTTTTTATTTTAAAAATATTTTTGGGTATTATAAGGGCATTTTCAGGTCCTTTAAGGACATTTTATCAATTTTTTCTGGTTTTTTAGTCCAGACTTTATAATTGAAATTTATATACTTTAAGTTATATGGATTTAAAATAACTTCCCGAAAATAACTTCGCAAGGGAAAAAAGCCAAAAAAAAGTACAAAATTAATTGCTCGTAGTTCGAGTAGTTTTTTTTGTTTGTTCTGGAGATTATTTTTAATGATATTGGAGGGGACTCGATATCTTTGGGCTTGAAACTTTTGAGTTCATTGATGGCCAGAAAATTCAAAATTTAGAACAAATTTTAAGGCTTATGAGTACTCTATTTCAAATACTTCTTGTAATTAAACTTTTGATAAAAGAATTTTTTCTTTTAAAGGTAACAACAGGTGGAACTGAATCAATTATCTTGGCTTGTTTAGCTGCCAGAAATTTTGCTTTTTCAAAAGGAATTGGTGATCCAATAATTATAGTTCCTGTAACAGCTCATGCAGCTTTTGATAAAGCTTGTTCTCTTCTTCGTATCGGAATAAAGCATATTCCTTGTGATCCAAATACTATGCGGGTCGATTTAAAAGCGATGAAACGTGCAATAAATAGAAAAACTTGTTTGGTTTGTTTTTCTTTTTTTTTTAATTTGTTCACCTTTCATTCCATAACTTGAGGGTCGTGTTACTTTATTTTGGCAATCTGTGAATTGATTTAGGGTTGTCCAAGACTGGTTAATTTTGACTGTAGTGGCTTAAATGTCGACTGTAGTGGCTCAAAAGGATTTTTAAGAATTAAAAACATTGGAAGTTTATTTTTGCCTCCGGTTCTCTGACCCTTTTCAAATCAAGGATCCGGCCCTGATTATTCTCAAAACTCATTGAACCGGCTCCGAAACCAGAACTCCTGGAGCCCTGCACAAAGCACAATTTTAAGAATCCTATTCCAATTTTATTTTTTTTAAAGTTAGTTGGATCTGCTCCAAACTTTCCTTATGGCACTATAGATGATATTCCTTCAATTGCTCAATTTGGTTTGGACTATTCTATACCTGTACATGTTGATGCTTGTCTTGGCGGTTTTGTAATTGCATTCTCACAAGATTCTCCAGCTTTGTCACACATTCCAATTTTTGATTTTCGTCTTCCTGGAGTTACTTCAATTTCTTGTGATACACATAAGGTTTTTATTTTAATGTTTCTATAATTTGCCAACGCCATATTGTGCCAATAAGGATAAGAGCCACGTTTTATCAACAGGATTTTAGGCAAAACGTATATTTTTAGCCTTATTGGCAAAGTATGAGGTTGCCTTTTTTATTAAAAATTTTTTTAAGTATGGCTATGCACCTAAAGGAACTTCAACAATAATATATCGTTCAACAGAGCTTTTGCATCATCAATATTTTGCTGTAACTGAGTGGCCTGGTGGAATTTATGCAACACCTACTTTGCCTGGTTTTTATTTTGAATAAAATTTTTTTTTAATTCGGGTTGTAATTAATTGAAATGGGTTGATGACACCAGTTTATTTAAGCGGTAGAGTCGGGGATTTCTTTTAGTTGAGTGACACCCTATGGGTGGCAAATGATTTTTCTTTTGAGTAAAATGACTTGGCATTAGAAAAAAATTGAAAATTTTTTTTTTCAGGAAGTCGTGCTGGATTAAATATTGCATTAACTTGGTCAACCTTATTATATTTTGGACGTCAAGGTTATATTGAAAGGGCAAATTTAATTGCAACAAGAACTGCACAATTAGCAGATGGTTTATATAAGGTTTTTTTTCAATTTTTCTTATTTATAATATTTTTGGAAACTTTTATAGATTCCTGGATTATTTATTGTTGGAAAACCAGACGTTTCTGTAGTTAGTTTTTTTTTTATTTTTTAACATATTAGGGTTAAATGGGTAGAGGGATCAGTGAACCAACAGGGACTTCCCAAACTTTGTTTAATAATCTAATGTGTTTTTGGTCTTTTTGTGTGGTCACTAGAGATCGAGCTGGGCCTGGATCAATGCCTGGGGTCTTCCTTTACGCAGAGGCCAGGCCCAAGCATTTTTTCATCTTCCTGGGTTTTTCTTGGGCCTGGGTCTTTCCTGGACTACAGGCCCAGGTCAATAAATCAAACCCGGGAACAGGCCCAGGCTTTTCAAAAATCTCGATCTCTAGCGGTCACTTGCCTGATATACAAATTTTTTGGTTTTTTCTTTACGGAGCTTGGCATTTTTGAAGTGAATAGGTGTAGAAGTATAGCTTTTACGAGACTCAAAAATTTGAACGTTTCTAAAATTAACATTGGGATCATTGGGCTTTCCTGACTAATTTCTGACTTCCTTGATTAATTGAGTCCCTATTATGTATAATTTATTTGAACTAGAATTTTAAATAAAAAATTTAATTCTTATTAAGGTGGCATTTTCTTCTAAAAAATTCAACATTTTTGCGGTTGCTGATCAATTAAATAAACTTGGTTGGAATCTAAATTCATTACATTTACCTGATGCGTTAGTTATTTTTATTAATTTTTAAAAATATTAAATGGGTGAAAAGGTTTAAAAAATTGGACGTATTTCTAAGGACGTAACTCCAGCTAACTTTCATTTAAAAAAAGGCTTACTAGGTGAGGGTTTAAGATTTATTTTAAGAAAGAGGATTGGGGGTTCAATCGGTGAAGCACTACTAGTACAATTTAAGGTGAGCGAATGAGCCTAGCAATAACTGCTTTGGGGTTAAACTTTTACCTCTTCTATTCGTGTATTGAAAGGGTACAAGAAAGCACTTTTGAGGTGTAATTATCTTTTTTATAAAAAAATTTTTTGGGAAAAATATTAGACAAATATATTCACCAGTCTTATTTTTTTTCTTTCACAGTATTCATTTTTGTCTGACATATAATCAATCGAAAGGTGACGTCATTATTAAATTTTTGAATGATTTGCGTGAATGTTGTAAACAAGTTTGTCAACTTCCGGACAAAGGAAAGGAATCTAAGACAGCAGCACTTTATGGAATGGCTGCACAAATACCTGATAAAACAATAATTGAAGATGTTGCTCATCTATATTTGGATGCTTGTTATTCAATGCCTACTAAAGCTTAGAGAAGGAGAGGGTATATTTTATTTTAAAAATAGAAATTTAATTTAAAAAAATTTTTTTGATTGGATTTTTGCATTTGCTCAATATTCCTAATTTTTTGTTTACCTTCTAAATTTGAAATAGATTCCGACGTTTGTCATGAGATGGTTTCAGTCTTTTCTAGTGTTAGGCAAATGGATTTTCCGGTACCGATATCGATGATTACCGAAATTTTACAAAGTCTTACCGTTACGGTAAAGACACTTCCCGGTATTTTTCTGTCATTATAGGAAGGATAAATGGGTGTTTTCAATAGACTCATTTTTTAAAATGATTTTTAGGAATCGCCTAAATTTATTTACATTAAGTCCATATTATGAGGGATTCAGTTTTGGGATATACTTTTACTTGTCGTGTTGTATCTTCAGGCATTTCCCTCATTTAATACGTGATGGAAAGGGAAGAGAAAGGGACTCAAATACCAATTTTGCATGTTTAGCAAATCCTTGTTAATAATCATAAAAGCTGCATTTACCTTTTCCAGTTCCGCATCACTCTCATCTTCATTATTATTATTATTATTTCCACCCTTAAAAAATGAAGTTATGATTTTTTATAAAATAAAATTCAAACTTCAAGATTGTGTGTTTTATTTGCCAGTTCAAATATTTTGACAATTCTTGGAAGATTATAAAATGTTTTCTTCATCCATTGTTCACATTTTTGGTGACGAATGCAAACATAAAATGCCGAAAGCTCGCCATTAACATCTTCCGGATACATATATTTCCAGTAAGCACCGTTCTTCATCCACCAGTTAACGAAAGATTGTTGAATTCAATATTTCTTGCCATTTAGACATGTTGATAGATAAAATTGAAGAAATTAAAAATCTAAAAGAAAAAAATTTCGGATTTAAAGAGTAGAAGGATTAAGTTTCAAATCACAGATTAAGTTTCAATTCAACAATCCAATTAATTCGTTAACTGGTGGATGAAGAACGGTGCTTACTGGAAATATATGTATCCGGAAGATGTTAATGGCGAGCTTTCGGCATTTTATGTTTGCATTCGTCACCAAAAATGTGAACAATGGATGAAGAAAACATTTTATAATCTTCCAAGAATTGTCAAAATATTTGAACTGGCAAATAAAACACACAATCTTGAAGTTTGAATTTTATTTTATAAAAAATCATAACTTCATTTTTTAAGGGTGGAAATAATAATAATAATAATGAAGATGAGAGTGATGCGGAACTGGAAAAGGTAAATGCAGCTTTTATGATTATTAACAAGGATTTGCTAAACATGCAAAATTGGTATTTGAGTCCCTTTCTCTTCCCTTTCCATCACGTATTAAATGAGGGAAATGCCTGAAGATACAACACGACAAGTAAAAGTATATCCCAAAACTGAATCCCTCTTAATATGGACTTAATAAATAAATTTAGGTGATTCCTAAAAATCATTTTAAAAAATGTGTCTATTGAAATCACACATTTATCCTTCCTATTTTTGATTTCTCATTTACAATAAACGTAGTAAATCATTTTAAATTTGGAAGGTAAACAAAAAAAAGTTTAGATTTAGAATCACCAATTTAGTTGTTAAAAATTTTTTTGAGTATTTTATTTAATTTAAAATTTTTTTGATAAATTTTATAATTTAATTTTTTGATTACTTATAAATCTTAAAGACATTAATTATTAATTTTTTTGATTTCTTTTTTTTTTCGTTCTCATTTTTAGGTCTATTCTCTGCGGGGATAAAAAAAGTTTTATAATATCCCGCAAGAGAGAGAAAAAAAACTTGTCTAAAATATATCTTCTTTTTTTTCAACCACCAAAAATTAATATATTTTTATATCTGGTTCTGACCCGATTGTACTAGTAGTGGAGAGATGGAGAAAAATGTACATACATTATTTTGTGTGTTTTTTTCATTAAAACATTCATTGATTCTGCTTTTAATTAAAGAAATATGTATTTTGTTGTGTTTTTATTTTATCTGTATTTTGTGTTTTTAAATATTACAGAAGTTTCAGAATTTTATGTGTTTTCCGGAATATATTTTAAATTAATTTTTGGAGGGATAATTAGATAGCTAGATAAATCAGAATTTATTTGTGTTTTCTATAATAAAAAATCAGAATTTATGCTGAATGTATTTTCTGATATTTTTGTGTTTTCTGAAAAATCAGAATTATTTGTATTTTTAGCAGTCAGAATTTTTTGTGTTCTTTCTGTTGTAAAAATCAGAATTTATTTTGTGTTTTCTTTTTGCAAATCAGAATTAATTTGTGTTTTCCGGAAAAGTTTCTATTTCAGAATAATGAAAAATAATAATGACAAGCTTTTCGAATAAAATGTTTATTGTTTCCCTAATTTTCTCCCATTTAATATTTTTCTGTTTTATTAATCAAAATGAATGTGTAACCGGAAATGATTTACCAATAGAACAAGTAATTTTGTATAATTATTAAATTTAATTATTCCTTTATATTTTTAAAGGCTAGTGGACATGGAAGGGAGCCTGAAGCAAAATGTTCTTTTCGGGTAAATTTTTTATTTTAAAAAAATTTTATAATTATAAAAAAATATTTTTTTCCGGTACATGTGAAAGGGCCAAATGGTGCGGAAGTTAAAGGTGTGTGTTAAAAAATTAAAAAAAAATTTTCGGGAAAATTTCAAAAAAAGTTTTCAAAAAATTTTCACAAAAAATTTTTTGAATTTCAAAAATTCAAAAAAAATTTTTTCAAATTTTCAAAAAAAAAAATTCAAAAAATTCAAAAAAATTATTTTTTAAAGACGTGACGCTCGATCAAGAACTTTATTACAAAATAAGTTGTGAACCTGTTAAAGGATACTGTTTGAGAGTTAGTAACTGTTCTGTAACAACTGATGCTCCTGGCCAAAAACCTTATTTAATTATTGATGGGAGAGGGTGTACAACAGAACCTTCCTTGTTTGAGCATGTTCAAGTGAGTTGAATAAACATTAATTGGGGGGAAAAGTAAAGGCCTAGAAAGATTGTTTAAGTGGGAAATTGTCTCCAATATGTGATAGGAGAACAGGTCAAGGAGAATTTGAAAATAAATTTTGGTTGGTTTGAGTATTAGCCGAAAAATCGTTCAAAAAGCGCGATCATCAAGCAAGTTCGATTTTTCTTCAGAAAGAGAGTAGGACCGAAAAACCTTGACAGAGTTCAGTAAAACACAACCTCAATTTAATGATTAAGCATTTTTTGGAGTAATGTACGGGGGTTTAAATTTTGGTAGTTTGTGTAGTTCGGGACATGTACTTTAAAAAATCAGGTGCCATGAGATTAAAGACAACCAAAAAACAATCTTCTTTGGTCTTTTAACTTGCTTCCTCATAAATATTTTTTAATAAAATCCCTTTGTTATTGACCAAAGAAAAGTTAAAAAAAAATTTTTTTTTAATTTTCAAGTATGAAGACAACTTTACAGCAGGCATTTACAACCCTTATCCAATCCGTTTTCGAAATCAAAAATCTGCTGTACAATTTAATTGTGATACAAGTTTAGTATTGCTTTCACAGGATGGAAAGGTAATTTATTAGAGAAAATTTATAGGGGTTCTCTTAACAAAAAAAATTTTTTTCTTTTTAAAGTGTCAACGTGAACGTTGTGTTTGGAATGAATACACAAAAGAAGCAAATGAACAACAACAACATACAAAATAAAGTTGGGGGTAAAAGGGTAGGGGGATGAGGGAGAACTTGATTTTTAAAAAGTTTGTGTTAAAAATTAAATTATTTTTTTTTTGTAAATAAAAAAAAATATCAAAATAAATTTTAGCTAAAAAAAGTCAAGAAAATAGGCAATTTTATTTTTTGGTTTTAGAAAAAAATTTTTTTCTGAAAAAATTTTTTTAATACAAATTAGTAGGTGTGTTTTAAATTAAAGACCCCGGACCGAGACGAAGTCTCAAACAAAATATCTGATTTTTTGAGACATCTTGAGTGAATGAATAACCCTTCAAAAACCCGTCATTGGTATTCTTAATCAAATTTTTCTTTATTATTCAAGTTTTGAGCTATTTATTTAGAAAAATAATTAAATTCCCATTATGAGAAAAATTAAATATAAATTATATTTTATATATTATCTAGATATTTCCAAATTATTTTTTGAATAAGGCCTAAATGAAGGGGAAAGGTGAAACCAGTGATGATGGTTGTTGTTGTTATCGTCGTTAATACTAGGACTTCCGATATTGACAACTTTTTTATTTGGAGGTGCAATCATTGAAAGTAGGTGGAATTGAACATTACTGAAATTTGGGATTTTGAGTATTTGACATTTCGGGAAATTGGCATTTTGTAAGTGGACGTTTTGAAAAATCGACATTTTGGAAAGCAGGCATTTGGGATTTACCATTTTGAAATTTGGGCATTTTTAGAATTTGACATTTTGAAATTTGATATTTTTAAAAGTCGACATTTTGAAATTTTCAAAATGCCAATTTTCAAAATGTCAAATAATATTTTTTAAATTTTTTTTCTCACCCTTCAGCACACAAAACATTATTATCTATTTCCCCAAGCATGATCTGATGACTGTTTGAGAGATTTGTAAATGCTAATTTTGGGTTGTTTACTAATTTGTGTCCAAATGAGTGAATACATTGGTGTTCTAATTCTGCTAAAAAAAATTTTTTTTTGAAAATTTCCCCCAAAAAATACCCTCAATTTTTTCTTTTTGTAATTCTGTCCATTTCCATTCAAAGGCTATTTGTTGTGTTTTTTCATTAATTGTTTTGTTTGGGGATGATTCAATAGAGGAGGAGGTGATAGAACAGGAAGGGGATGATTCAGCTGAGCAAAAGGCTGAATCTTCTTCTTCGTCTAATGAAGCTGTTGAAAAGCCTAAATTTTAAGGAAAGTTTGGTTATGGGCATTTTTGGGGTTTGGGTTTCGACTTTTGGGCATTTTGGGTTTTTGGACATTTTTAAATTTGGGCGTTTTGAGTCGGTGGCGTTTTGACTTTTGGGCATTTTGACTATTTTCTGTTAAAATTTTTTAGTTACTTTTCCGTAGACGTCCAACAATAGACAAAGGAGATGATGAAGGCACTGAAGGTCGTCGAGACAATTGTGTAAGCCCTTGTGGAAGAAAACGTTTAGTTGCTGCGGCAGCCCTTTGTCGTCTAATAACTAAATTTTGCACTGAACCATGATTGTGGTGGGAATTATTTTTATTTCCGGAAATCGACCGGAAACTTTGTGTATAATAATTATTGTTGTTATTTTTCTGTTTCTTTAATCCGTTTTCTTTTCCGGTTTCTTCTCCCTTTTTCTCTTTGTTGTTGTATTTTCCGGAAGCTAACCGGAAAGGTTTATTATTATTTCTCTGCTTGTCTTCCGGTTCTATTTCTCTTATATTTTCCTGATGTGTTATAAATTCATTTCCGGAATCCGACCGGAAACTCTTTCCGTCTCTTTCATTTTCTATTGTCTCTATTTCCTCCTCATCTCTATTTATTAATGAAAATGCAAAATTTGAATAATTAACACTGTTGTGTCGTTTGTTAGGTTGTAATTCATTGTTAGTTGATGAGGAAAACGGTTTTAATTTAATGCTAAAACCAAAAAGTGATTTTCTTTTTTTGTCTGTAGTTGTGGTAAAATTGTTCATTAAAATTTTTTAATTTTAGTCTGAAAAAAAATAAAGAATTTTTTTTATTTTCAGGTCAAAAATGACCAATTTTTTGAAGTTTTTTTTGCCTACAATTTTTTATTTTTTAATCTAAAATTTTTATTTTTGTATTATTTGTCTGTAGTTGTGGTTTATAAAGAGGATTGATTAAATAGAGGGTATCGCTGTTAAATAAAAGTGTGCTTAATCTTGGGTGTATCTGATGTGGCTTTTCTTCAAAAAATTTTTTTTTCGCCCAAAACAAAAATATTATTTAAAAATTTTTTTTCTGTCCAAAAATAAAAATAAGAATATTATTAAAAATATTTTTTGTTTACTCAACTGTTTTGTGAATTTTTAAAATTTTTTTGTTTGTTTATTTTTCAACAAAATTTTATTTTTTTATTAATAATTCTTTAAAAGGGCAAAAAATGAAGGGAATGTTGTTTATTTTATTGTTCCGTTTTTGCATTCCGGAAAGATATATAAATATTTTTGTATTAGTAATCGTTAATGGGGGAATAAGGATTAAGGGACACGTGAAAAATAAAAATGTGTTGAAAAAATATTTTTTAAATAAGGAAAGAAAGCTGATCATTGGACAAAGTGAGAATACTCGTGTTCTTTAAGGAATAAAAAAAGATTTTTTAAAAATGTGAGATTAAAGATGAGTTGTAGTAAGTTAAATGTTCAGTATCGGAACAAAATTTATTTATTTTTCCGGAAAGAATATAACTCAGAATTTATTCAGGAACAGAATTTAATTATTTTTCCGGAACAAATATAACTCTGAGTTTATTTTTCCGGAACAGAATTTAACTCTGAATTTTTTCAGGAACAGAATTTAATTATTTTTCCGGAACAAATATAACTCTGAGTTTATTTTTCCGGAACAGAATTTAACTCTGAATTTTTTCAGGAACAGAATTTAATTATTTTTCCGGAACAAATATAACTCTGAGTTTATTTTTCCGGAACAGAATTTAACTCTGAATTTTTTCAGGAACAGAATTTAATTATTTTTCCGGAACAAATATAACTCTGAATTTTTTCCGGAACGAATATAACTCTGAATTTTTTCCGGAACAAATATAATTAATTTATTGTTTATTTTTGTGTTTTCCGGAAAATTTATTAAAATTATAAAAATCGTTCCCTTTTTCATTTAAAATAATAATTAAATTCAAAAAAAAATTCCATGATTTTTTAATGCTATTTTTTTATTTTCTAAAGGGTAGAGAAGCTGGTATTTTTTAAATAAAAAAGCTTTTATGGCCCTCTCCCCGTATGGAATTTTATTATTTTTTATTATTTTTAAGCATTGGAATGAATAATAACATCACCTCTATAAATGTTGAATTGTGTAAAAAGGTGAAGGAATCGGATCAAAAACAAAACACCCATTTAATCAACACATGTATTTAGAAAGGGTGTACGCCAAATAGAGACGCCAAAAAATAATTTTTTTCCTACATTACGAGTTACGAAAAAAAATATTATTTTTGTAGGGTGGGCAAAGGGATATACCGACAAAAGGGTACAAACGACAAAATGGTACAAAAGAAAACAAACGACAAAATGGTACAAAAGAAAACAAACGACAAAATGGTACAAAAGACAAAAGTGTACAAACAACAAAATGGTACAAAAGACAAAAGGGTACACACGACAAAAGGGTACATTTGACAAAAGGGTCTATCTAGTATTTGGGTAATTTATAAAATTTTGCTGTAAAGAATGTTTCTAAACTGCGTTCCTCAATAAGTTTTTATATAGAAAATGCAACTAAAAAATCAGAGATTAGAAGAGAGGAGTAATTTTGTAAATGATTAAAAGGGGTGGAGGAAATTTTTTTTAATTGGAGAGAAATTTAAAAAAATTATTTAAAAGGGGATTATAAGGTAAAATTATTTCAAAAATGGAAAGGATTTGGACAAAAAACTTTGAAAAAAGAATTATTTTTAGCAAACAACAGAGATCAAAGATTTTTTAGAGAGAAAAAGGAAGTTTCTTTAAAAGGGGATGTAGAGGGAGAGAGGGGACCGAGACGAGATCTCGATCGAAAATCTTGGTTATCGAGATCGAGAATTTTTCGAGATCTCGATACTCGCAAGACACTCCCAGTCCGGTCTCTAATGTATAGGAAGAGGGGATCAGGGGCCTCATTATAAGACACCTCCAAGATTAACTAAGCATACGTTATAAATATGGTTATCAAGATTTGGTAGGCCATTGGAGGGGGAAGTTGCTTAAGCAATAATACCCCCTCTACCTCTCATTATAAGGTACAGTTTTTCTCTTAGTTTACTCCCACCTAAAGTAACACTCAGCTGGAAAAATGCTGTTTTTAAACACTAATTTGACGATTTTTATTTTACCCTCTATTTAAGAAACACTTCATTATAAGAGACGATGTTTTTTCAGCTTCAAGAGGGTATTAAGAGAATGAGGTTTGACTGTAAAAATAAATTTTGTTTTTATCATCAAAATAATTTTTCTTTTTTTATCAAGAAAACCAAAGTCATTTTCAATGGGGAAGAGGAGAGGGAGAGAATAAAGAGGCAAGGTAAATAAATATTTGGCCAAAAAATAATAATAAAAATAAATGTGTTTATTTGTCTTTTTTGAGTATATTTTTACAAAGATATCAGTTAAATTAAGAAAAAAATTATTTTTTTTGATCGAAAATGACCGTAAAAAAGGAGTTAAAAAAGGAAGAGAGAGATGGACACACACATTCTCTCTTACCTTTATTTTTGTTGTTAAAAATGACCCTTCCTCCTCTCTTTTTGTGAATAAATTAATTTTTCTTCCTTTTTTTGTGGGAAAATGTATACAAAAAAGTGTAGAGTGTTGGGGGGTTAGTAAAGAAAGTGTCAACAACACCTTTCCCAAAATTTAAAAAATATTAAAGATACAAAAGCCGATTCAAAATGGAAGAAAAGGAAGAAAAACCGCTGCGAATATATGGCCGCGAATATATGGGGCGTCTATTTGTTAGACAGTCTAAACGGAAAGTACCAGTTGAGTCCCGGAGGTTGAGTTTTTGAGCCCTATTTTGGGCAATAACTTTTACAATCCTTAATTGATTTGGATAATTTATATGTTATTAGAAAGCTATTGATGTAAGGATTATTTAGTCTAAAAGGACTGATTTGGTCAGAGCAACATACTTAAAGTTATAGACTAATAAAGACCAAAAATCACGATTGCGCGCACTTAATGAGATGTAACTTTTTGTAAAATGATCTAATCAAATCAATCTACTTGACGAAAATAATCCGCACATCCAGGGCTTTCGAATGGTAAAAGAATTGTTCTAAATGGTTAAAAACACAGAAAGTTATGGTCCAAAATATGGCTCCGTGACTTTACCGCTGGGACTCAAACATCTCCTATTATAGCTTAAAGAAATGCTCTTTTATTTTTCTCTAACTCAATAACACTTAAAGTTTTGTTTTCTCTATTTTCTTTGTAGTTGTTTAGCAGTTTATAAATTAATGTAAATTTGAATAGTTTAAAATCTCAAATTTTCAAAACGTCCAGAAGGGTAAAAAATTAAATTTGGTCACAAAATTTTTTATTATTTCCCCTAAATTTGTTTCAAGTTTTTTAAGTCAAAGAATGTTAAAATCTTGCTTTTCTTTGCTTCAATTTCAATCAAATTTGCCAATTACTCGATTATTCCGATTTAAAGGATTAATAAATTCTAATTTTCTTCGTTTGTATTCAACAACAAATAAAATTTCAAAATTACCAGTAAAGAAGGCAACAAATAAGTTAGTTTCTTGTCTAAAATTGATGAGAGCTGACAAACCAATAGGTTAAATATTTTTAATTTTTTACTAAAAATCAGCTTTGAAAATAGCTGAAGCATACTTCTAAAAAATTGAAACTTGTTTCACAAAACCTGAAACTTGCTTGAAAAAAGTTGAAACATGCTTCTAAATAGATCTAAAACATGTTTCACAATACCTGAAACATGTTTCACAAAATTTGAGGCATGCTTCCTAAAACCTGAAACTTGCTTCAAAAGATCTGAAACATGCTTCTAAAAACCTGAAACATGTTTCACAAAAGTTGAAACATGCTTCAGAAAATCTGAAACATGCTTCACAAAACCTGAAACAGGCTTCACAAAACCTGAAACAGGCTTCAAAAAATTTTTAAACTTGATTCCGAAACTTGCTTCAAAATTCTTTTAAAATTTGCTTCAGCTTCTCAAAATCCTTTTTAGTCAATTTTAGGTACTTGGCTTCTTTATTGGCCGGGTGCCTGGTCTATTGCATTGAGTGCTTCTCCTGGATGTTTACCTGATGCTTATTTGTTGGGGCTTTTTGGTGTTGGATCTTTTCTTATGAGAAGTGCTGGTTGTATACTTAATGATCTATGGGACCAAGACATTGATAAAAAGGTTTATCTTTTTGTTGTTTACTCCAGAAGCAAATTTTGCTTCAACTTTAAAAAATTTTTTGAAACTTGCTTTAGAAACTTGCTTCAGAAGCATTTTGCTTCAGCTTCTAAAATTTTTTGAATTTTGCTTCAGAAACAAGTTGCTTCAGTTTCAAAAAAAAATTTTTTAAACATGCTTCAGTACCAATTTGCTTCATATTAAAAATTGTTTCAGAAGCAGCTTGCTTCAGTTTTAAATTGTTTTATGAAACATTTTTCAACTTCTTAACAGTTGTAAATTTTTAGGTTGCTCGCACAAAATCCAGACCTTTAGCAAACGGTGAACTTACTGAAAAAGAAGCTGTTCTTCTTCTTGGTGGTCTGCTTTCTGCTTCATTAACTGTCTTGCTACAACTTAATTCGCTTAGGTTTTTTTATTAATTTTTGTTAAGTTACTTGGGTATTTATAGAAAAATTTTATTTGTTGCATTTGTGGTGTAGTGGGATTTGTCTTGGTCACACTTTTTAATCGGGTGGGTTCGAGTCCTACGTGTGTAAATAATTTTCTTTTTGAAAATAAAATAATTTTTAATAAATTTTAAGTAAGCACAAATGAACAAAATAATTTTTTGAAAAATCCAACAAAATTTTTTTAAACGTTTTAGTATAATTCTTGGTGCGTCTTCACTTTGGCTCGTTGTCGTCTACCCTCTAGCAAAACGTTTTACTAACTGGCCTCAACTTGTTCTTGGTTAATTTTTCTTAATTTTACTAAATAGAAATTGGCTTCATTAAATTTGAAGCATGTTTTAAGAATTTCGAAGCAAGCTTCGAAATTTTAAAGCATGCTTCAGAATCATTGGGGGAATGTTGCCTAGGCGATCCCCTCACTTAGGCGATCCCCTCACTTTAAAATAAACCCCATTACTAGGTCGGTTCATAAAAAAGTTCGTTCTACAAAAATGGTTATAGAATTTTTTGTATATGTCCAAAAGCTTTGAAATTTTGCAAATTTATTCATTCGAGTGTTTCCTAATAGACCCCAAAATTTGAGAATTTTTGGTTCGGTATTCAGGGAGTTCTAATCTCCTAAAAAATTGTTGTCGAAAATTATGTTACACATCCCCCCAAAAAAGTGATTTTTCTAACTTTGCGTAAAATCATCCGATCTTGATGATCTAAACGGTTTTGTACATAACATATATGATTTATGACTAAATACGAAGAATAAAGTCTGTAACATGGGTCTAACCCGGAATTCGACATTTCGACATTTCTGAAAATCGACTTTCCCGTTAATGAAAAATTCGGCACTTAGGCCCCCCTGATAGAGATTTTTAAGGGCTTTCGAATGGTATATTGCACTAAATATTACAATTACATATGCTCGAGAGGGCTCGAACCCCGATGGTTTTCAGGTTACCTGTGTTTTCGACCATAACTCCCTGAATACCGAACCAAAAATTCTCAAATTTTGGGGTCTATTAGGAAACACTCGAATGAATAAATATGCAAAATTTCAAAGCTTTTGGACTTCTAGAAAAAATTCTATAACCATTTATGTAAAACGAACTTTTTTATGAACCGACCTATAAGGCGATTACCTCTAGTTAAAAAATCCCTCATTATAATGGACACTTTTTTAAGCCTAAAGAGGGTATTTAGTGTTTGAAGTGAGGTTCGACTTAATTTTGTTTGATCAAAACCATTTTTTAGGCGCAACATTTAATTGGGGAGCTCTTCTAGGATGCACGGCAGTCACTGGAAAATTTGTGCCAGAAATTTGTATTCCACTTTATTTGGCTTGTATTTGTTGGACAATGATTTATGATACTATTTATGCATTTCAGGTTTCTTTTAAATTCTTTTTCGAGAAAAAATTTTTTTTCGAACTGAACCTCGACTCGGAGAAAATTTTTGAAAACCTCTGTCCGAAACCCTTTTCCAATTTTTTTCTCACCCCATCCCAACGATACCAGGAGTGGGCGCAAGCGACGATCTCAAAAAACTCAACGGAATGCCGAACTTTAGCGCAATGCGCCCACCCCTGATCGGAACTCCACAAGTGTTCATACGTTTTTTAAGCGTCTGTTTGGTCACTGGGTGAGGGTGTGAGCTAGCTAATTGATACCCCCTCGTTTGTATACCACCTTCCATATCTTAAAGTTGAGGTTCTTTGATTTTTTGAGCACCAGAGGGTAGTTTTTTAAATTAAAGGTTTAACAGCTTGATTGTTGTCTACAATTTTCCCCTTTAAAAGTCTTCTTCTTCCAAACTCTAAAAAGTGCTCTGCTGGCATCCTAAAAGCTTTCCTTATAAATCATTAATTCTATCAACAATTTTTTAGGATAAAAAAGAGGATATTCTAATAGGACTGGGATCAACAGCGATTGCTTTTGGCAAAAATAGAGAAGCTTGGCTAAATTTTTTTGCAGTAACAATGATGTTAAATTTGTTATATTCTGGATATATGCAAGAATTGCCTTGGCCCTTTTTTGTTTCGCTTTTAGGTTTTTTTTAATTTTTTTGTATTTTTTAATATGTTTTTTTGCTCTCAGGAAAGGAATTTTTCCCGGGGAAAGGAAGAGGGTTTTCTCGTTCTCCTTCTAGTCATCTTGTGTTCTTGAGACGGAGCCGGCGCCATCCAAGGACAAGATTTGAAAAAGGTCCCAGCCAAATAGCAGTCAGGCCAAAATACCCAGCACCGGTCATCTCTCTATTCTGCCAACTCTGAGTCATAAACTAAAATTATCCTGATACTTTTTAATACGGGAAAATGTCTCTGCCTAGGACAATGCCTAAACCCTCTTTTTTAAAAACTAGATTTAAATTAAAAAAATTTTTTGCGGACAAATCCACAGAAATAGGTTGCAGACCAGTCACCCATCCCAAATTAAAATAAATTTTTTCTTTCCAGTTTCATCTTCACATTTAATTTGGCAAATAAAAACATTAAAAATAGACAATAATTCTGATTGTTTAAAGAAGTTTAATTCAAATAAATTTATTGGAATAACTATATTAATTGGAATTATTTTAAGTAATTTAATTAAAAATAAAGAGGAAATTATGGAGGAGAGGGATGATGAAGAAGAAGAAAATTATGGAATTAATAAAAGAAATATGAATATTAATTTTTATTGTTGAACTGATTAAAAGAGGTTTATTTTTTAAAATTTAATTGGAACAATTTTTTCCGGTGTTAAGGTTTTTTTTAAATTTTTTAAGGATTTTTTATTTTAAAAAATTCTTATTTTTGCGGACAAAAGTTGCGGACATTTATTTAAAAAATTTTTTAATTTACTTTTTCCAATTGAAATATATGTATGTAAGTTGAGAGAGTTTCTGCGGAAATAGGTGGACATCTTCTAATGTATCTGCCCGGACATGTAGGCAGTTCCGTAGCCAGGATTTTTTGCCCAGTCGCCTCCCCAAATTTTTTTCTTTTCCCCATTTCGGGGAGAATTAGCCACTACTCCCACTTGGCTACGGGTCCGGACATGGAGGGCTGTACAAGAACCTAGATGATTTTTATTAGAAATCTCGTCGCGGTCCATACACTATTTTTTCTTAATTACCATGACTTATAAAAAATAAAGTTGCTTTGGCCCCAAACAAGGGCGTATCCAGGGGGTCGGTTTCGGGGGGGGGGGGGGGGCTAACACTGGGTGGGCGCAAAAATTTTTGGCGTTTACCTTGGCGTTCCTACGGCAAATTTTTTTGTACATAACTTTTTATATTTTCAGCGCCGCAGGCGAAAATTTTTTTGGAATTTGGAGCCCAAGAAGCCAGATTTCTTCCTTTTTAGTGCCGCAGGCGAAAATGTTGAGAATTTTGGAAGGCCGTATGCCAAAAAATTTCACTTTTTCAGCGCCGCAGGCGAAAATTTTGAGGATTTTGGAGCTCAAGCAGCCAGATTTCTTCCATTTTTTGCGCCGTAGGCGAAAATTTTTTAAAATTTGAGGGTTGTAAACGAAAAAATTTCACTTTTTCGACCATCCTTCTCCTAATTTTTTCCCCCATTTCGGGGGGGGGGGGCTCTAGCCCCCCCCCCTGGATACGCCCTTGGCCCCAAAGAGAACACGTTAAAGAAACTATGGACCCTCTATTTTCTCACTAAAATTAATAAAATTTTACATAAAAATTTGGGGTTATAAAAAAAATAAAATTTTACACCGATTTATTTTTATAATTAAAAATAAATATTTATCATAAATATATTTTTAAAATTAAAAAAACAACTAAATTTTGATTTAATGAGGTTCAGGCACATGTCCATCAACATAAAAATTTCTTGTAATTTTTGGCAATGTTAAAATAATTCCTTCCAATTCTTTATTTAAAATTATTTGACAAGAAAGCCTTGAATTTGGTTTTAATAATGGGGCCATATCTAACCTGAAAAAAATTTAACAAAAAAATTTTTGCGGACAAAATTCGCGGACATTCTTATTTTTCGGGAATAATTTTTGTGTATTTGTAGGGGGTGTGTTTTTTGATTAAAAAATTTTTTAGAAATTTTTTGGAGTTAATTTTAACATTTTTTTATAAAAAAGTTATTCAAAAATTGAGTTATAAAGCTTCCACAGACGGCGGGAATCGAACCCACGTCATTACCCCCACAAATCAAGAGCACTACCAATTTGACCACAAGTCATGTTGAACGGAAAAAATTTTTTACTAGAATCGTAAATTTAAATAGTTTATCGTGTGATTTGTCCATTTTTAACGGAAAAAAGTTGGGTTTAGATTTTAAAAAAATTAAGTAATAAATAAATACATGTCTTCCTCGTCTTCAACCGGAGCAGGCAATTTATCATAAAATTTATCATCAACATAAACATGGCAAGTACAACAAGCTAAAGAAGCTTCACAGGCTCCTTCAATTTCTATATTATATCTTTAAAATAAAAGAAAAGAGAATGTTATTTAAAATTTGGATTTGGGGGAAGGAGGAGAGGGGAACTCTTCCTTCAACTCTCCTTTTCTTGTGGTTACATCAAAAACGATTTTTTGCCCATTTTAGAATGACGGACGTCACAAGGATTTTGTTATAGCCGGTGTTCTGTTCGACGTTTCAGTCCTCCTCACAATCAGTCAGCAGCGGCCTAGTTTTAACCCGTTAGAAAGGATTGAATTTCTGTCTTTTAATTCAGGTTACAAACTGTGTCAACAGAACTCAATCTCTGGTCGGCGTATGTGACGTAAAGCCCAGGCATGGGATTTTTCCTGATCCCATATAAAGAGGCATTTTCAAGCTCCCTAAAGGGCCTTGAGCTTTTCATGAACTCTAAAACAGAGATGGATCGGACTGAAGAAAAAATCAGGGTGCGGTTTTGGAAAAAAATTCGGGTTACGAATAACCCAGCCCATTCCTATTTTAAATAGTCAGTCAATAGACCAAGTCCCTCAAGAGTTTAGGAACACTCAAACTTAAATTTTCCAAAAAAAAAACCTGTGTGCCAAATACATAGCATTATCCCCAACTTTTCCTCTAACTTTTTTAGCTTGTCCATCTCTAGTAATATAAGTAACATTAACAACTTCATCTTCACATTTTGGATCTTCATATTCGTAATCACCAGATTTTAATAAATTTGAAAAAGATAAATTTCTTGGTAAAAAAGGCGAAGTAATTTTGTGTATTGGAAAGATTGAAAGTCTTCTTAAAGCTGTTCCAAACATTTTTTTCTCTTTAAAAAATTAAATTTAAGGGGTAGAGGGTTTAAATATGAAAATTAAAATTCGGGAAAAATTAAAGAAAAAAATTTAAGAAAATTTCGCCTCAAACACATTTCACCAATACCACATTTTGCCAATAAGGCTAAAAATTTACATTTTGCCAATATTGCCTTGTTGACAAAACGATAATTTTTAGCCTTATTGGCAAAATGTGGTATTGGTGAAATTTGGAGGAGCTAGGAATTTTATGTAGAATTAAGAGAAAATTTTTTGGGAAATGGACATTTTGTCACAGGCCCAGTTTGCCACAGAATGTGAAGTACCTTTAATTTTTTTATTTTAAATTCTAGATTTTAAGAAGGAATGGATATAGAATTACACCAACAACAACAGCAAATCCGTTATGACCGCCAAATTCGTTTATGGGGCGATGAAGGACAAAAAACTATTCAAAAAGCAAAAATTTGTGTTTTTGGTTCTAGTGCTTTAGCTGCTGAAATATTAAAAAGTTTAGTTTTGGCGGGTGTTGGATATTTTCATATTATTGATAATTCAATTGTAAAGACTTCGGATTTGGGACAAAACTTTTTTTTGGATGTTGATTCTGTTGGGAAATTGAGAGGAGAATGCTTGGTTAAATTATTGACGGTTTGTTTTTTTATTGATTTTTTGGTAGGAGGGGGGGGGGTGTGGCAAGATGGGACGGGTTATCCGTGATTTGGGCGTCGAAGACCAGATCTTTTTCCGACCTGAAATCTGAAAGGCGACTCATGAATTTTTTGGTAGGAAGGGGGGTTGTGTAGCAAGGAGTGGAAATCTGTGAGTTAAAAACCTTGCCTTTTTCCGATTTGAACTCCGAGAGGCGATCCGATAAAATTTTTTAAAACCGTTACGAAATCTGACCTGATTTTTCGCATCCCATTCCATCTCTGGTGTGTTGAAACTTAATTGATCTTATTAGAGTTCTCTATTTTGCTACTAATTTATGGTTGTCTAGGGAATCTATTTTATTTTAATTCTCCCCATTTTTGCCTTAAAAATTTCAAAAATATTTTTTTGAGTTAAGCAAATTATTTTTTCCTTAGCGGCATCGAACCCGAGTCCATTTACTAGTTAAAACTAACTCTAAGCCACTTAACCACAATGGTTGTTTTTAAAAAATTTTTAAACTGGACACCTCTGTTAACATAGGTTATTTGTTCTTGTTGAATTGGAAGCCTTAAAAACTCCAAATATATTATTTTTGGTTATTTAAATCGTTTTCTCCCGAGCGGCATCGAACCCACGTCCATTCTTTAGGGAACTAAAATCCAAGCCACTTAACCAAAAGGTCATTTTTTGAAAATTTTTTAAACCGTACACAGAGGCTAGGTGGCTGTTCTTTAAATTGAAGTTTGGTCCCTCCACCCCTTTATTTCTCTTCTAAATATTTTTTTATTTTTTTTTCCTAGGAATTAAATCCATCAGTTCACGGTCAACATTCCCCAGTCCCTTTTGGAGAATTTTCAAAACACGAAATGTTTATGCTTTTAAATTTTTCTTTGGTTATTGGAACAAATATGTTGGCAACTGAAGCAATAAAATTGGACAAATTTTTGTTTGAAAATAATATTCCTTTTTTGTATGTAAAATCTGTTGGAATGTTGGGGTATTTGCGGTTATCTTTTAATGAACATATTATTTGGAATAATCGAAGTGTTAATGATTGTTATGATTTGAGGTTTATTTTTTTTGTTAATTTTTATTTAATTTTTGGGTAATAGTGTCGTTACCGGGCCCCTATTTTTTCACCCTAAGTTTTTTTTCATATATACAGAATGGTCAGCCCTTTCTTTTCTCTTCTATCCCAATTGACAACCAAAGGGCTTTAAATTTTTCAAAAGAAAAATTCTGACTATTCTGTATATATATGAAAGAACTTGAGGAGAAAATGGGGGCCTGATAACGACATTGTTACAAATTTTTAGTTAATTTTGGGGTGGAATTTTGGTCGAATTTTAAGCCTAAAAGTTTAAATGGAATTTTCAAGTATTTAGTCTCGAATGTGTATTTTTACTTTTTAAGACAACTAAATTAATCAAAAAAATTTTTTTCTAGAATTTTTATACGGATTTCTTCAGTATTTGTCCTTAAAAACTTTTTTTTAATTTATAAAAATTGTTTTACCCAAAGCGGCATCGAACCCGCGTTCCTCATTCACGCGAATAACTACTATACCACTTAACCAAACTTTAATTTTTTGGCAATTTTTACATCAATTTTTTCTCTAATTTTATCATTTTTAGAATTGACTCTCCATTCCCAGAATTGTTAAAACTTGCAAACGAAACAGATCTCAATTCAATGACTCACGAACAACATTCACATACACCTTATGTTTTGTTATATTTTAAAGCTATTGAAATTTGGAAAGAAAGGTTTTTTTTTAATTTTTTTATTGAGACTGATTACTTTAGCGGAGATTGACTTTAAAATTAATTTTGGAAACCTTTTTTATGGATTTATTGGTTTTTGGCTCTTGTCTAGTTTATAAGTCCACTCAAGTTTTAAGCCTTTTTTTATATTTTAATTAGACTCGTTCAGAGTCATACTTTTTCTTTGGACTTCAAACTTTTTGTGTGGACTTGGAAGCTTCTATTGGACTCATAAAGATTCAGTGGATTCATAACAAGTCCGAGCAGTTTTTTGGATAAATTCTACAAAATATCTGTTCCCAAATGGTGCCCAATGTGTGTATAAAATAAAATTCCCCCTCTAGGTCTTCTCCAAAGGTCTTCTTTTTCTCTTTCTCGCCAAAATAGACCGTCTCGGACCGAAAGATCGAATCTGGTCTAAGTAAGATATCTGACCCTAAGGTGACTTGTACCGGCTCGACTCGATAAAAACAAGCCCGAAAAAATTCCTCGACCGTCGGCCCAACTCGAAAACGGCACCCTAAGCATGATCGTTGCTTCTTGTTTTATTTTAAGAACACTCAAAAAAACAAAAAATATTTTTTAAAAATTAATTTAAGACATTCAATTAACCAAAATGTCGAAGAAATGGAGGAAGGAGCAAACAAACTTTTATTCTTCCCAAATATTAAAGACTACAAAACTCGAAAAGAAATTGAAAAAATTTTGTTAGAAATGAGACAACCTGACGATAAAGGACGTTTGGATGAAGAAAATTTTATGGAAGCAACGAGGAATTTGCTAAAAAGTTTGGGAAGGACTAAGGTTTTTTTTCTAATTTTTTTGAAAGTTTTGAGGCATTCTGATCAGGGCTATCCACAATTGCTGATTGTGTGTTTTTTGACTTGCAGAGACTGCGTTTGCGGAGTTTAAAATCAAAATTGCTGCTGAGGAAAATTTTTTTCAATTGCGGACAGCTCTGATTTGGTGTCTCTAGTATTCATGTTTTTGGTTTTTTGAATTTTTTTGGCTTTTTGTTTTTCCAAAATTGAGGTTTTCTTTGACTATAGATTAATGGAGGATCGGAACAATGTCTAAAATTTTTCGATCTCTAAACTATTTAGGTCTATAGACTAATGTCGATTTCTGCGGATAATCCGCAAATTTATTTGTACATGATTTTGAATTGTTTTGCAGACTTGTCTTAAATTTTTTGATTCCTTCACTATTCCTTGCTTCACCTCATTCATATATTTTTTAAAAAACTTTTTCTCCCCATTTTTAGGTACCCTCAAATGTTTCCAAAGTTTTGGATGATCCAAAAATCAAATCATCTTGTAACGTCTCCAAATATTCAAAATCTTCTACTTTCAATTTATTTTGGCTTTTTTGCTCAGCTTTAAATAAATTTATTTCAAAATATGGACATATGCCTATATCTGGACAACTTCCTGATATGACTAGTGATTCTAAAAGATATGCTCAATTATTGGGGATTTACAGGTTTTTTTTTGTTTAAATTTTTTAAAAAATTAAAAAAGAGGGGAAAATGTCCGCAAGTTTTTGTCATTGAATGGGCATACATGTTTTTGCGGACAGTCGTCAGTTATCCGCAAAAATATTTTTGCGGACGAAAGTCAATTTTTGCGGACAGAATTTATCCGCAAAAATATTTTTGCGGACGTGAGTTGGAAATAAAATTTTTTCCTTCAAAATAAATTAATACATGGTTGCCTTTTTATAAGGTAAAAGTCTGAAAAATTTTTGCGGACTTTTGAACCTTAATAGGAAAAAAAATCAAATTCATCTGGTAATGTCTCCAATATTTATTTTGGCTTTTTTGGATGATTCAAAAATCAATGACTGGAATTTTGGTAGGGTGGAGGCAAAGTCTTTTTTCGTTTTTTCTACTGCCTCTTGGTTCGAATTCTTCTTGTTCATGGGTACAGCCCAAGTAGGCGCACGGCCATACGGCGCAAAGCCATAACTTCAAAATTTCCAAATCTTAACAAATTTAGTATTAAACGATTCCTCTCATCGAGCTAAAGAGATTGGTATTAAAATTGTTAAAATCCACAAATTTTCCAACAAGTTATGGCTTTGCGCCGTTATGGCCTCGCGCCTACTTGGGCGTGTCCCCTTGATCATGCATTTCTGTTTCTTCTTGAACCCTTAAATATTTTTTAACTTAAATTAAAATTAAAAATTTTTTTTTTCGAGCCTAAAATTAATTAATAATTAAATTTTTAAATTTTTTCAGAGAAAAATCATTTGAAGATGCTCAATTATTTTATAATACAATTAAAGAAATGACTGAAGAAGAAGAAAATAATGGGGAAGAGGGAGAAGAAAATTCAAATGTAACAACAGATGAGGAAGAATTATCTAGAATGTCAACTTCAGAATTTAATGAAAAACAACAAATTGATAATAATTTACTTAAAAAAAGAATTAGTGTGTCTATGGAAAGTATGGACGATTATGATGATGATAATGAAGTAGAAGAAGGAGGAAATGGTTCTTATGGGTATATTTAATATTTTTGGGAATTTATAAAATATTTTTGGGAATCTTTTTTTCTTTTTTGAGAAGAATTTTTTTCGAAAAAATGTCCGCAAGTTTTGTCCGCAAGAAAAAATTTTTGTCCGCAAAAATTTTTGCGGACAAATTTTTTGTCCACAAAAATTTTGTGGACAAATTTTTTCTAACGGACAAAATTTGCGGACATTTTTTATTAAATAATAAGAAAAATTTTTCCAGAAAAATTTTTTTCTTAATTTATTTAGAGAAGACTTCTCTACAGCCCATTCATTAATGGAAACTTCAAAAGAATTTAGTGAGGAACATTTACCTAAAATTACATTAGAACAATGCAAAAATTTTTGTAAAAATGCTTCAAAAATTGCTGTTCAATATGGGACTTCGCTTAGCTCGGAATTTAATGGAAATATTTTAAAGGTTTTTTTAAAATTAATTTTTGGGATGAAATGTCCTTTTTTAAATTTTTTATTTTTATAAAATTAAGATATTTTATTTTTTGATAATTTTTGCCTTTAAAACTTCAAAAAGTATTATTTTTAGTTATACAAAGTGTTTTTTAAATTTTTTTCCTTAACGGCATCGAACCCGCGTCCATTCACCAAGTGAACCTAGTTCTAAGCCACTTAACCAAAAATGAATTTTTTGAAAATTTTTTTTCTAACCATACGCCCAGCCTTGTTTTTATTTTAACATCTTCTAATTTTGTTTTTTTATAATTTTTTAATTAACAAAAAATTCCCTTTCATTTTCAGTCATTACTACACAAAATTGAACCGCCCAGACTAGACGAACTTCCCCCAGTTGTTGACCCTTTAACTTGGTATATACTTTTGAGAGTTGTTGATCGATTTCAAGAAATTAATGGACGTGTTCCTAAAGAAGAAAGTGATCTACGAGAAATGAAAAGAATTTTGGGGGAATTGTTGGGAGAAACTAAGGTTTGAATTTTTTATTTTTAATAGTGGAGAGGGGGGGGGGAGGTGAAGGAAATTAAGTTTTGATTTTAAAAAATGTTCGCTAGAAGTGGGTTTTTTGTTTCTAATAACTAGAGCCCGGATTTTTATGCAAATGCATATTTTTTTTGCAAACTTTTCATGATGTGTTATGCACAAAAAACACTGTTTCCGCAAGTTTTGAAAACTTTAGAGGGGGTTTCTATTTGCATATAATGCATATTTTTGCATATTCCGGACTTTGTTGCATAATGCATATTTTACTGCATATTTTGAGGTTTTTGGGGAAAATATTGCGAAAATTGCCTAAAATCCTGCCAAAAAGTGAAAATTTAGTAAAAATTAAGGAAAAAATTTGTAAAAATTACAAATTTTGTAAAAAAAATTTTGTGTTTATTGGTTTCGCCAGAAAATGGCCCACCCCCACAATGTCTCAGCCCCAAAACGTCGCACCCCAAAATGTCCCACCACCAAAATGCCTCATCTCAAAATGCCCAACACCGTAAAAATGCTCAATTTGTCGAACTATACATTTAAAATGGAGAAATCTTAATAAAAAAATGTATTTTAAATCATTTTGACTAAAAATATGTAAAATTTTTAGGTATAAATGGTATTTTTCATGCATATATGCGTGTATATTTTGGTCTACTTGCATATTTTTGTGCATATTTTGGCAATTTTTTATGCATATTATAGTGCATATTTTGCATTTTTTAATGCATAAAAATCCGGGCTCTACTAATAACATAAAGGGATTTTAACCAACCTTAAAAATATTTAAAAAATTTTCCGAGACAGTTGTCCACAACATGCGAAAATTTGTCCGCAATTTTAAAAAATGTCCGCAAGTTTAGAATTTGTCTGCAAAATTAGTCCGCAAGTTTTAAAATGTCCGCAACTTTTATCTGTAATTTTAAAAAATATCTGCAAGTTTAAAAATTGTCCGTAAAATTTGTCCGCAAATTTAATCCGCAAGTTTAAAAAATGTCCACAAATTTTGTCCGCAATTTTAAAAATTGTCCGCAAGTTTAGAAATTGTCCGCAAATTTAAATCATGCTCTCCTATCTTTTAAAAAATTCCAAAAAATTTTTTTCTTCTTTCAGGACCCAGAATTAATCAAAAAACAAGAACAATTATTCCCTGACCAAATAATTGTAGAAATTTGTCGTTTTGGTGCTTCAGAATTGCATGTTATTTCAGCTATTATAGGAGGAGTTGCTGCACAAGAAGCAATAAAAATTTGTACAAATCAGTATATTCCTGTAGATAATAGTTTAATTTATGATGGAAATTCACAAAATGCTACAAGTTTTAAAAATTGAGAGATTTTTGTTGAATTTAAATTTAACGAATAAATAAATTATTTTTGTCTTTTTTTTTTACGAAAAATATTTGGACAAAAAAAGTTTTTAAATTTACTCGTAAATGTTACAAAGTAAGAGGCCAAAAATAGAAAAGGTAGACTGACGTAAACGATGGTCCCTTGTAAGTAGAATGGTATCGCTCTCTCGACTACTTGGGACTATTTTTTTCTTGTATTCGTGAACGTTTGAATTTTGAATTTTGATACGAGCTTCCAAACATTGTATAAACAACTATACAAGTGCTTGTATAAGGAAAAAATGAGGACGACTTCCAAAATATTTCCATATTTCGTAAATTTACAAAAGAAAAATTGTCTAAATTCTCTTCGACGATTTTAAATTTTTTCCCTTTCTGACCATTTTGTCAGACAACGCATTTTAGAGATATTGTATATTTTATGTGTTGGGACACTTTGAAAAACGCTAAAGGAGTACTGTAGAAGTCAGAGAAGAGAAAAGAAAAAGGAGTGTACTAAAATTAGTAGTCTAGCTCTTTTCTTCTTTAAAATTACCCTTATTTTAAACACCATGGAAATTTTGTTATTGTTGCTTATTTGTATGTTTCAATTTTGTCCAAGCGATGGTGCTGATTGCAATCGTAGTAGATTATTTTTGTAAGAGGGCACTTGTGTAGCCCTCTAAATTTGTTGGATTGATAAAGTTGGAGGAGGGTAATGAATGTGGGGATGTGGGTAGATTGTGGATAGGTTATGAGAGCAATGTGGGATAATGATTTTAATTCTTATTTTTAACAAATTCTGTTTCTTTTTCGTTTAGTTCCCGGTATAGAGACAAACTATATCTAAATATTTATAAAAAAATTTTGAATTTTTAAAAATAAATTATTAAAAAATCATTTTTTTTGCTTCTATTATTGTTTCCCAGGCCTTCTAATTAATTTCCAATTTTGATTAATAAATTGTTGTTCCAATTCTTCCAAAGATTTGTCTTTAGTTTCAGGTAGCCACAATAAAGAAAATATTAAAGCAAAAATGTTTAGTGTAGAGAAAGCTAAGAATGTCGGCCCAATTCCAAAATTACTTGAAGAAATTGGGAAAAATATTCCAACTAGAGCATTTGATATCCACAATATAAATGTGCTGATACTGACAGCTAATCCGCGAATTTTTAGTGGAAAAATTTCTGAGAGCAGAAGCCATGTTATAGGTGAAATGGAGCCCTTTTAAAGAAAAAATTTTTTGGAAGCATGCTTCAGGTTTTTTTTGAAACATGTTTCTGCATTTTTGATATGTGTTTTAGATTTCTCGATATGTGCTTCAGATTTTCTGAAAGATTTGTAACATGCTTCAGATTTTATAAAAATTTGTTTTTAAATTTTTGAAGCACGTTCTGATAGTTTGAAGCAGCTTCTGAATTTTTGAAACCTGTTTCTGATTTTTTAAAACTTGTTTCTGAGTTTTTGAAGCATGCTTCAGATATTTAGAAGCATGTTTCATATTTGTTGAGCATGCTTCATATTTCTTGAAACTTGTTTCTGATGCTTCACATTTTTTGAATCATGCTTCAACTTTTATAAAACATTTTAATCTGTATTTTCTAACTTGTTGAAAAGCCAAAAAGATAACGCTTAGGCAGAGCACCAGGATTCCTTTTGATGTCCCATTATTAAGAAACAATTCACTTAGGCCAATTAATAAGTGAACGATTATTATACAGAATTGAGCAATTATAAACATTTTGCGACGAGAAATTTTTCCAAGTAGCCAAATGCTAGTTGAAGTGGCCAAAACAGAAATTAGCTTAATTGGGAGAAAAAAAAGTTATTTTTTTTTATGGATGAGGGAATGGAGGAAGTGTTGGGAAGTAATTATGGCGTTGAGGGAATTTTGGGGATGAGTAAAGTGATGAGAACATGGAGTGAAGAAAACATGGAGTGAAGAAAACAAGGTGGAAGGGATCATGCTTCTGATTTTTTGAAGCATGCTTCAAATTTTTAGAAAGATGCTTCTGATTTTTTGGAAGCATGCTTCGGGTTTTCTGAAACATGTTTCAGGTTTTCTGAAGCATGCTTCAGATTTTTAGAAACATGCTTCAGATTTTCTGAAACATGCTTTAGTTTTTTTTCGAAGCACGCTTTAGTTATGTTTCAAAATCTAAAAGTTATATTGCCCGAAGGAAACATCGGGGAAGGTCTAAGTTGAGAAAAAAAGCTTGCTTTACCCCATTAGCAATATTAGCCATTAAAGCAATTTGATTTGAAAAGCCTGTTTCTCTAAGAATTTCTGTTCCATAAAACATTATTGAATTGACACCTACACAAATTTATTTACAAAATATTTTTTAATTAAAAGAATTAACCAGTCACTTGATTACACAAAGCAATCCCAATTCCAACTAACAAACAGCGATATATCCATCTAATTAAAAATTATTTTTTTTCGGGTTACTGGATCTCATTATAAGATACACTCTTGGGGCTGAAAATTGTACCTTATAACGAGGGGTATATTAAATAGAGGTTAGATCACTTAGACAACTCCCCCAGTGGAGGAACTACTAGGCAGATAAAGGTAGCATACTGAAAGGGTATTGAAAGAGTACATGTAGTCCGAAAGGAACATCTACGTAGTCCGAATGGAACATGGAAGAATCCTTGTGACTGCTACCCTATAACGAGGGGTATATTAAATAGAGGTCTCTTAGTGGAGGAACTACCAGGCAACTCTCCCAGTGGAGTAACTACTAGGCAGATAACGGTAGCATACTAAAAGGGTATTAAAGGAGTACATGTAGTCCGAAAGGAACATAGTCTACGTGTCCGAATGGAACATGGATGAATCCTTGGGACTGATACGCTATAACGAGGGGATATTAGATAGAGGCATTATTCATTTATGCAAATTATTCACTCTTATAATGAGGTCCAACTAAAAATAAGCCCTCACCTTTCACTCAAAAGCATTGTTAGAATGTCCATCTTTTCTTCATTTATTTTCTTATCATACTCCACTAATTTCTCAACCTCTTCCAATTCATTAATTGCCTGTATTTCACCCTCTCTAATTTGTTTAAGCACTTCTAATGCTTGTTTTGTTTTTGAGGTTGATATAAGCCAACGGGGGCTTTCTGGAACTACTAGCCACGTCCCAAACATCAATCCTAAAGCTGGTATAACTCCTAGTACAAGCATCCAGCGCCATATTTGTGGACTAAAATGAGATTGTGAGAGATTGATATAGGGAGCGTAATGTAGTAGATAGTCCGAAGGGAACACAAGTAATTCGAAGAGAACACAGGTAGTCCGAAGGGAACATAGTAGTCCGAACGGAACATAGGTAGTCCGAAAGGAACATAGTAGTCAGAAGGGAACACAAGTAATTCGAAGGGAACATAGAATAGTGGAGAGGGGGGGGGGGAGGTGAAGGAAATTAAGTTTTGATTTTAAAAAATGTTCGCTAGAAGTGGGTTTTTTGTTTCTAATAACTAGAGCCCGGATTTTTATGCAAATGCATATTTTTTTTGCAAACTTTTCATGATGTGTTATGCACAAAAAACACTGTTTCCGCAAGTTTTGAAAACTTTAGAGGGGGTTTCTATTTGCATATAATGCATATTTTTGCATATTCCGGACTTTGTTGCATAATGCATATTTTACTGCATATTTTGAGGTTTTTGGGGAAAATATTGCGAAAATTGCCTAAAATCCTGCCAAAAAGTGAAAATTTAGTAAAAATTAAGGAAAAAATTTGTAAAAATTACAAATTTTGTAAAAAAAATTTTGTGTTTATTGGTTTCGCCAGAAAATGGCCCACCCCCACAATGTCTCAGCCCCAAAACGTCGCACCCCAAAATGTCCCACCACCAAAATGCCTCATCTCAAAATGCCCAACACCGTAAAAATGCTCAATTTGTCGAACTATACATTTAAAATGGAGAAATCTTAATAAAAAAATGTATTTTAAATCATTTTGACTAAAAATATGTAAAATTTTTAGGTATAAATGGTATTTTTCATGCATATATGCGTGTATATTTTGGTCTACTTGCATATTTTTGTGCATATTTTGGCAATTTTTTATGCATATTATAGTGCATATTTTGCATTTTTTAATGCATAAAAATCCGGGCTCTACTAATAACATAAAGGGATTTTAACCAACCTTAAAAATATTTAAAAAATTTTCCGAGACAGTTGTCCACAACATGCGAAAATTTGTCCGCAATTTTAAAAAATGTCCGCAAGTTTAGAATTTGTCTGCAAAATTAGTCCGCAAGTTTTAAAATGTCCGCAACTTTTATCTGTAATTTTAAAAAATATCTGCAAGTTTAAAAATTGTCCGTAAAATTTGTCCGCAAATTTAATCCGCAAGTTTAAAAAATGTCCACAAATTTTGTCCGCAATTTTAAAAATTGTCCGCAAGTTTAGAAATTGTCCGCAAATTTAAATCATGCTCTCCTATCTTTTAAAAAATTCCAAAAAATTTTTTTCTTCTTTCAGGACCCAGAATTAATCAAAAAACAAGAACAATTATTCCCTGACCAAATAATTGTAGAAATTTGTCGTTTTGGTGCTTCAGAATTGCATGTTATTTCAGCTATTATAGGAGGAGTTGCTGCACAAGAAGCAATAAAAATTTGTACAAATCAGTATATTCCTGTAGATAATAGTTTAATTTATGATGGAAATTCACAAAATGCTACAAGTTTTAAAAATTGAGAGATTTTTGTTGAATTTAAATTTAACGAATAAATAAATTATTTTTGTCTTTTTTTTTACGAAAAATATTTGGACAAAAAAAGTTTTTAAATTTACTCGTAAATGTTACAAAGTAAGAGGCCAAAAATAGAAAAGGTAGACTGACGTAAACGATGGTCCCTTGTAAGTAGAATGGTATCGCTCTCTCGACTACTTGGGACTATTTTTTTCTTGTATTCGTGAACGTTTGAATTTTGAATTTTGATACGAGCTTCCAAACATTGTATAAACAACTATACAAGTGCTTGTATAAGGAAAAAATGAGGACGACTTCCAAAATATTTCCATATTTCGTAAATTTACAAAAGAAAAATTGTCTAAATTCTCTTCGACGATTTTAAATTTTTTCCCTTTCTGACCATTTTGTCAGACAACGCATTTTAGAGATATTGTATATTTTATGTGTTGGGACACTTTGAAAAACGCTAAAGGAGTACTGTAGAAGTCAGAGAAGAGAAAAGAAAAAGGAGTGTACTAAAATTAGTAGTCTAGCTCTTTTCTTCTTTAAAATTACCCTTATTTTAAACACCATGGAAATTTTGTTATTGTTGCTTATTTGTATGTTTCAATTTTGTCCAAGCGATGGTGCTGATTGCAATCGTAGTAGATTATTTTTGTAAGAGGGCACTTGTGTAGCCCTCTAAATTTGTTGGATTGATAAAGTTGGAGGAGGGTAATGAATGTGGGGATGTGGGTAGATTGTGGATAGGTTATGAGAGCAATGTGGGATAATGATTTTAATTCTTATTTTTAACAAATTCTGTTTCTTTTTCGTTTAGTTCCCGGTATAGAGACAAACTATATCTAAATATTTATAAAAAAATTTTGAATTTTTAAAAATAAATTATTAAAAAATCATTTTTTTTTGCTTCTATTATTGTTTCCCAGGCCTTCTAATTAATTTCCAATTTTGATTAATAAATTGTTGTTCCAATTCTTCCAAAGATTTGTCTTTAGTTTCAGGTAGCCACAATAAAGAAAATATTAAAGCAAAAATGTTTAGTGTAGAGAAAGCTAAGAATGTCGGCCCAATTCCAAAATTACTTGAAGAAATTGGGAAAAATATTCCAACTAGAGCATTTGATATCCACAATATAAATGTGCTGATACTGACAGCTAATCCGCGAATTTTTAGTGGAAAAATTTCTGAGAGCAGAAGCCATGTTATAGGTGAAATGGAGCCCTTTTAAAGAAAAAATTTTTTGGAAGCATGCTTCAGGTTTTTTTTGAAACATGTTTCTGCATTTTTGATATGTGTTTTAGATTTCTCGATATGTGCTTCAGATTTTCTGAAAGATTTGTAACATGCTTCAGATTTTATAAAAATTTGTTTTTAAATTTTTGAAGCACGTTCTGATAGTTTGAAGCAGCTTCTGAATTTTTGAAACCTGTTTCTGATTTTTTAAAACTTGTTTCTGAGTTTTTGAAGCATGCTTCAGATATTTAGAAGCATGTTTCATATTTGTTGAGCATGCTTCATATTTCTTGAAACTTGTTTCTGATGCTTCACATTTTTTGAATCATGCTTCAACTTTTATAAAACATTTTAATCTGTATTTTCTAACTTGTTGAAAAGCCAAAAAGATAACGCTTAGGCAGAGCACCAGGATTCCTTTTGATGTCCCATTATTAAGAAACAATTCACTTAGGCCAATTAATAAGTGAACGATTATTATACAGAATTGAGCAATTATAAACATTTTGCGACGAGAAATTTTTCCAAGTAGCCAAATGCTAGTTGAAGTGGCCAAAACAGAAATTAGCTTAATTGGGAGAAAAAAAAGTTATTTTTTTTTATGGATGAGGGAATGGAGGAAGTGTTGGGAAGTAATTATGGCGTTGAGGGAATTTTGGGGATGAGTAAAGTGATGAGAACATGGAGTGAAGAAAACATGGAGTGAAGAAAACAAGGTGGAAGGGATCATGCTTCTGATTTTTTGAAGCATGCTTCAAATTTTTAGAAAGATGCTTCTGATTTTTTGGAAGCATGCTTCGGGTTTTCTGAAACATGTTTCAGGTTTTCTGAAGCATGCTTCAGATTTTTAGAAACATGCTTCAGATTTTCTGAAACATGCTTTAGTTTTTTTTCGAAGCACGCTTTAGTTATGTTTCAAAATCTAAAAGTTATATTGCCCGAAGGAAACATCGGGGAAGGTCTAAGTTGAGAAAAAAAGCTTGCTTTACCCCATTAGCAATATTAGCCATTAAAGCAATTTGATTTGAAAAGCCTGTTTCTCTAAGAATTTCTGTTCCATAAAACATTATTGAATTGACACCTACACAAATTTATTTACAAAATATTTTTTAATTAAAAGAATTAACCAGTCACTTGATTACACAAAGCAATCCCAATTCCAACTAACAAACAGCGATATATCCATCTAATTAAAAATTATTTTTTTTCGGGTTACTGGATCTCATTATAAGATACACTCTTGGGGCTGAAAATTGTACCTTATAACGAGGGGTATATTAAATAGAGGTTAGATCACTTAGACAACTCCCCCAGTGGAGGAACTACTAGGCAGATAAAGGTAGCATACTGAAAGGGTATTGAAAGAGTACATGTAGTCCGAAAGGAACATCTACGTAGTCCGAATGGAACATGGAAGAATCCTTGTGACTGCTACCCTATAACGAGGGGTATATTAAATAGAGGTCTCTTAGTGGAGGAACTACCAGGCAACTCTCCCAGTGGAGTAACTACTAGGCAGATAACGGTAGCATACTAAAAGGGTATTAAAGGAGTACATGTAGTCCGAAAGGAACATAGTCTACGTGTCCGAATGGAACATGGATGAATCCTTGGGACTGATACGCTATAACGAGGGGATATTAGATAGAGGCATTATTCATTTATGCAAATTATTCACTCTTATAATGAGGTCCAACTAAAAATAAGCCCTCACCTTTCACTCAAAAGCATTGTTAGAATGTCCATCTTTTCTTCATTTATTTTCTTATCATACTCCACTAATTTCTCAACCTCTTCCAATTCATTAATTGCCTGTATTTCACCCTCTCTAATTTGTTTAAGCACTTCTAATGCTTGTTTTGTTTTTGAGGTTGATATAAGCCAACGGGGGCTTTCTGGAACTACTAGCCACGTCCCAAACATCAATCCTAAAGCTGGTATAACTCCTAGTACAAGCATCCAGCGCCATATTTGTGGACTAAAATGAGATTGTGAGAGATTGATATAGGGAGCGTAATGTAGTAGATAGTCCGAAGGGAACACAAGTAATTCGAAGAGAACACAGGTAGTCCGAAGGGAACATAGTAGTCCGAACGGAACATAGGTAGTCCGAAAGGAACATAGTAGTCAGAAGGGAACACAAGTAATTCGAAGGGAACATAGAATGGTGAGTTAATTAAAAATTAACTAACTCATCTGCCCAAATAGTTCCAAGTATAGCATTACTAAGGAAGGCAACAAATTGCCCTAGAACAATCATCAATTCATTACGAGTAACCATTTGCCCTCTTTTCTCAGATGGAGCCAATTCTGCAAGTAAAATAGGAACAACTGCAGAGGCACAACCAACAGCTAATCCTAACAATAATTTTGCAAAAAGCATAAACTAAAAATTTAAAAATTGAAACAATTGATCCCAAAATTGGAAAAACTATTAAATTATTTCAGGTTTTATGAAACAAGTTTCAAATTTTTTAGAAGCATACTTCAGGATTCTAGAAACAAGCTTCAGGTTTTTAGAAACATGCTTCAGATTTTTTGAAAGATGGTTCATGTTTTCAGAAGCATGCTTCAGGTTTTTTAAAACATGCTTCATATTTTTAGAAGCATGCTTCAGGTTTTTGAAACATGCTTCAGATTTTTAGAAGCATGCTTCAGGTTTTTAGAAGCATGATGTAAAATAAAGAAACCATTAAATTAGGTGAAAGAGAAGAAGCAAGAGTTCCCAAAATAAATACAAAACTGTTAGCAAGAGTTACAAGACGACGGCCAAATTTGTCTTGAAAATGCGAAGAATTGTGAGAAGATTTCGAAATACTTTGAGTAATTTACCCGCCAAATGCCCCCCAATTAAAGCACCAAAAGCAGCGCCAACAAGTAAAGAACCCGTTATATACCCAACCTCTACAGGTTTAAGTTGGAGATCTAGTTGAATAAAGCTTGAAGCACCATTAGTTACACCAGTAGAATAACCGAAGAGAAGGCCACCTTTGAAAATTTTTAAATTTTTGAGAGAAATTTCTAGGACTTAAAGGCATAATATAGTGTGAAAGGAACTAGAGGTCTGAAGGAAACAAGGGTGACGGGAACACGAGGTGGAGGTGACGTTATTGAAGAGATTAGGGAGTGAAGGCTCTGAAGGTAACATGGGGTGAAGAGAACATAAGTAATCCGAAGGGAACATGGAGTGAAGGGAGCATCAATAGTCTGAAGGGAACATGGGGTGATGGGAACACCAGTAGTCTGAAGGGAACATGGTGTGAAGGGAACACCAGTAGTCTGAAGGGAACATGGTGTGAAGGGAACACCAGTAGTCTGAAGGGAACATGGTGTGAAGGGAACACCAGTAGTCTGAAGGGAACATGGTGTGAAGGGAACACCAGTAGTCTGAAGGGAACATGGTGTGAAGGGAACACCAGTAGTCTGAAGGGAACATGGTGTGAAGGGAACATAGGTAGTCTGAAGGGAACATATGTAGTCCGAAGGGAACATGGGGTGAATGGAACATAAGTAGTCCGAAGGGAACATGGGGTGAAGGGAACATAAGTAGTCGAGGGAACATAGGTAACATTAGTAGTCCGAAGAGAACCCACAGGGAACGTAGGATAAAGGGAACATGGGGGCTTTTATTAATCAAGAAAATTAGTTACCCAAAGTACAAATCAAGGAAACTAGAAAGAGATATTCAGCATTATTTTCACATTTTGCCAGTAGCATTTTTTGGAATAGATGAGAAAATATTTAAAAATTTGTGTGATATTCGAATTTTAATTTTTTAAAATTTTTGTGTTTATGGGAAAATAATTTTTAAGAGTTTCTGGCTTATCTTTTTAAATTACTTGTCTTCCAAAAAAATGTGAGAGTATTATAAAAGGTATTATTAACATCTCCATATTGTTTGCTTAATATGTATATTTTATAATTAAATTCCATTCTTTAAAAGATAAGAGAACAAATTTGGTGGAAAATTTGGGGGAAGAAAGAATTTTAAAAATTAAATTTAGAAAATTAACTGTGAACGCCATAACGCTTACAAACGCAAATTTAAAGTTTGGCGTTTTCCTTCCACTAAAAAAAGTTTATTGCGCACACAAAAAATACACTATTTAAATTAAATACACAACAACCACAAACTACAAATTAATTACTAAAATTATCTTCTTCCTCTTCCACTTTTTTCTCTTCATCATTATCTTCCTTTTCTTCCTCATATTCTTCATAATTTTCATCTTCATCATCAAAAATTTCTCTTTCTTCCTTTACCTTATTCTCTTCATTCTTCTTTTCCTCGTTTTCTTCCTTCCCCTCCTTTGCTTCTTTCTTCTCTTCCTTCACCTCCTTCCCCTCTTTTTTCTCTTCCTTTTCCCCCTCCTTCTCTTCATTTTCTGGAGAAAGCGTATCGGAAGATGAGTCGGAAGAATAACTTTCTTCTTCATCTATACTTGTTGTGTCATTCGTAATTGTTTCTTCCTTCGTTTCGTCTTTACTTGTCCCTTCGGTAGTCTCTTCTTTCTCTGTTATTGAAGATGATTGAGTGTCTTCGTTACCAGTGCTGGAGGTTATTAAAGAAGAATCCGAGAAAACGCTGCTTGCCAAACTCTGAAAAAAGATAAATTTTGACATTTAAATGTTTTATGGGTTTTTGGCGTTTTGAAAGTTTTTGGGGGCTTGGCGTTTTGAATTCTGGGGGTTTACCATTTTGAAATTTTTTTGAATTTTCGACATTTTGAACTTTTTCAATTTTCCCAATTTAAAAAAGCCTACCGTTTGACTAGTTTCTTCCTTCACCGTTTTCATTCGAACCCGGTCGTCGATTTTCAAGCTCTTCTCCAAAGATTCTTTCACTTTTTGCTGTATTTCATCAAGATATTTTCTTCCTCCTCCCATCTCTTCCTTCTTCTTTTTCCCATCTTCCTTCACCTCAATAGCTGTATTTTCTGACTTATCTTCAAGAGTAGACGAATCCTCTTTCGAAAGGGAAGAGGGGCATTTCTTCACTCTCTTCATCCTTCCCATCATTTCCTCCTCCCTCTTCTTCTTCTCTTCCTCCCTCTTCCTCTTCTTCATTTCCTCTTCATCTCTCTTCCTTTTCTCAGCTTCCTTGTTTGTTTTGCCCAACCCAATAGTTTCTTCTAGCAATGCCAAATCCTCTTCCTGCCGTTTTCTTATTCGGATGAGATAACGACTGATGAGGTAAAACAGAAGAGTGCTTAAAAAGAAAAGAAGCTTTTCTAATACTTTAAATTTTTAAGGGTTTAAAAAGCTCGTACATTATAAGATAAACTGAAGCTATAACTGCAAATCGAGTCCAGTTTAAAGTTCTGAGCCAGTTTACATGTTGAGGATCATCTTCTGATGTCATGTACCTTAAAAAATGAGAGATTTGCGTTTAAAACCTTATGACTGAAAAATGATTATGGAGGGTATCCTAAATATAGGGTATCGCTTAGAGAGAGCTCCCCCACCCAATGGCCAATCAAAATACCATAATTAGGGGGTCTCTACTACTGAGGGTATCTTAAAACGAGGTTCACCTCTTGTAGTCGTCGTCCCCTCCTGTTGCTGTTCTCTGTTGACGACCATTATTGTTGCCTCTATTAACCATTTGAACATTAGCAGCATTGTAGACGTTTTGTTGAAGCTTGGCAAGGAGAATAAAAATGAAGCAAATTAAATTTTGTTTGTAAAACATTTGTTGTTGTTGTGTTGATAGGTGTTTTGGAAGAGAAATTGTTTTGAATAAATTTTGAGGGGTTTTTATAGTGTTTCTGAAACATCTTTCCTTTTAAACTTGTTTCAGAATTTCTTTAAAACCTTGCTTCAGATTTAACAAACAAAAAATAATTCAGAATTTTAATCAGAATATTAAATCAGAAAATGAAAATTAGAATAATCAGAATACTCAAGTGAGAATTAAAAATCAGAATGCAAAAATTTCAGAATATCAGAATTTTAAAAATCAGAACTCAAAAATTTCAGAAATCAGAATTTCCTCGAATAAAAAATTCAGAATTTTAAATATCAGAATTTTGAACCAGAATTTTTAAATTCAACATAAAAGTTTACAAATCAGAATTTAGTAGTTTTAGGAAATGTTTTATATTTATAAAATCAGAATTTAATTTTTTCACTAACTAGAAATAAATTAGAAATTTTGGTTAATCAAAGCACACAAAAATACCAATTTTACTTAAATAAATTTTTACTTAAATTCTAATTATTTTAAAAAATAATGCATTTTTTGGACTAATTAAAAAGGAAAAATTTTTTTATTATTGGCTTGTAGTTTTCCAACAAAAAATATATAGTATGTTTAATAGCCTGGTGGAGTTCTTGGTTTTGGACAGTGATCTAAATTAAATTTTTTTCTCCCGAATATATTAAATTGACTCACCGCATGATCCAACAGATCCGTTTGGACCGGGAGGACCTTGAGGGCCGTGTTGACCAGGCTTTCCATAAGGCCCGGGATTGCCTGTAAATTATACATTTATTAAAATTTAACATCATTTTTAAATGCTCCCTTGGGACTGAAAAAACCGACCTTATAATGAGCGGTCCCTTAAATAGAGGTTAGTGGCCTCCCAACAGGTGTCCTACCTCCACCCAGTGACCTTCAAAATAGTTTTGTCGGTACTTAACAAGATGCTTGATTCTTCTGTTCGGTTACTGCCGACAACCCTCCTCAGAATATAAAAAACATATCTTAAACTGATGGAATGCTTATTTTAGTTATATAGAAACGGAGTGCTATATATGATTTTATTTCCAACTCCATTTTATTTTACCTTGATCGCCTTGAGGTCCTTGTGGTCCAGGTTCTCCTGGTTTGCCTGAAATAAAATTTCAAAAATTTAAAACATAAAATCAAAAATATTAAATAACCTTTTTCTCCTGGAGGTCCAGGTAGTCCTGGAGGGCCCTAAAAATTTTTTTGAAATAAATTTTTTTAAATTAAGAATCATAGGCACAGAGGATTTTTTATCAAAAAATTTTTATTATTTCATATAAACTCACCATTTCACCAGGTCTTCCTGGTGGTCCGGGTGGTGCAACTCCAGGTACATGCTTGCCAGGCTCTCCCTGAAAATTTTCAAAATTTTTTTTAGAAATTTCTGCAAATTTTTTACTTTGTCCCCAGGCCTTCCAGGCATTCCAGGCGGTCCCTGCGGACCTTGTTTGCCAGCAGGGCCTCTCGGACCAGGCTTTCCAGCTGCTCCAGGCTCTCCCTGCTCTCCGGGATATCCTTTGGGTCCTTTGTCTCCTTGACTTCCAGGCGGACCTGGTGGGCCTTGAGGGCATTCACGGACGCAAGGAGTTGCTGGGGCTGCTGGTGGGGCGTCTAAAAACAATTTTTTAATTAATTAAAAATTATTTTTTTGGAGGAACCTTGTCCTGGCTGTCCATTCTGTCCAGGACTTCCGTCTAAAAATAAAAAAAAATTTTCTGATTTTTTCTGAAAAAATCAGAATTTTTTTTTATTTAAGTTTCCACCTTTCCCCGGTGTTCCATCCACGCCTGGATCACCGGGAGGACCGGCAGGTCCAACTTGACAGCCACAACCTTTAAAGATTAGATTTTTGTCTTATTTATTTATTTGTATTTTACATTCCTCTCCACCACTAGAAGCAACAGGCGCTGAAGCTACTGGGGCAGAGGGTGCTGGGGCATAAGCTGCACTTGAGGATTCTGCCTTTAATTAATTTGAGTTGAACTTGAATCAGAATTTTAAAAATAAACTTTAAATCAGAATTTCAGAAAAAATCAGAATTAAAAAAGAAATCAGAATTTCAGAAAAAATCAGAATTTCAGAAAAAATCAGAATTTCAAAAAATCAGAATTTCAGAAAAAATTAGAATTTAAAAAAAATCAGAATTATAGAAAAATCAGAATTTCAAAAAATCAGAATTTAAGAAAAAATCAGAATTTCAGAAAAATTTAAGCCCATGTCAGACTTATTAAAAAAATTTTTAATTAACTCAACGGTTTCACTAGGTGCATTATACGAAGATGGTTGTTGTCTTCTAATTTCCCTCCCTTGTAGAGGAATATTATTATTATTATCGCCGTCTTGAATAAAATGCCCAAAAAGCCATCTACCATTGCCGTTAGCAGAGTTACTGCCTCGTTTAAGTCGGTGAACGTGTTCCATTTGGCCTTTATTTGTTTGGACACCAACAACTTCTGACAATATATGTCGATTACTGCTCTTTAAAAGCATTAAAAAATTTTCAAAAAATTTTAATTTTGCAAACTCGGCAAAAGTCAATATCGTTGCTAATAGAAGACTGAACCCGCTGAATATATTGGCAAGCTATTGGCATTAATAATACACAAGATAACATGGATACTGTAGAAAGTGCAACGGCGACAAAAGCGATCCGGCGAAAATGCCTAGGAAAAAAGTTTGTAAACTTGAGAAATCAGAATTTTATTTAAAAAAGTTGTTTCAGAATTTTAATAAACTTAAGTTTAAGCTTATTTAATAAACTTGGGGAAATCAGAATTTTAAAAATAGACTTGTTTCAGAAACAAACTTGTTTTAATAAACTTGAATTATTTTCAGAATAATTAAAAATCAGAATTTCAAGTTTATTTACAAGTTTTAATATTAATTCTGTTTTATATTTAATAGAAATTCTGGCAAGTTTCAAGTTTATGCACCTAAATAAAAAATCAGAATTTTTCTAAAAATAAACTTGGAATCATAATTTTTTAAAAGATTACCTCAGATCATTCTCACTGAATTCTCCAGCTTTTGTCTTATCTGTTTGAGTAGCCATTGGCTGAAAATAAGAATATATTCAGATAATTTCTATGTTCTATTTTTCTCGATTTTTACGGTCACTAATTTTATTAGAAAGTGAACAAGTTTGTGTAGAAGCGGGAATTTTGGGAAAGGAATGGGGGAGAAAGAAAGTAAAATAAGCAAAAGGATGGATATATAACTCAGGAAGTGCTCATCGAATCTGCTTTATAACGATCGAGCATTAATGAGGAATATAAGGAAAATTGGGGAAGAAGAGGAGGTGAAAAGCAGTGCTTAAAAATCGGTGTGCGCAAAAAAGTTTATGAGGGTTTTTAGAGGAAACAATCTTTAGAAACTTGAATAAACTTGAAACAAAAATCAGAAACCTAAGAATAATAATCAGAACCTTAAATAAACTTGAATCAGAAACTTGAATAAATTCAAGTTTACAAACTTGAATTATCTCAAAAATAAACTTGAATTGCTTCAAGTTTAACTGTTAATAAATAAACTTGAATTATTAAAATCAGAATTTAGAAAACTTGAACTAATAAGAATTTCTACTCTAAATAAACTTGAAATCAGAAACTCAAGTTTATTTAAGAATCAGAATTTTAAATAAAAAAGTTTTTGCGCACAGCCTAAATTTCCAAGCGTTGGTGAATATTAGCGCGAATCGCTACGTCGACAAGCAACTGAGAGAGTGATTTGAGGGAAAATTAAATGAGGAGAGAAGAAGCTCATTCCCATCTTTCCTATTTTTCTTTAATTCCGTGAAGATGGAATGCGGACAAAAACAACAAGAAAATGAGTGAACACGAACAAAACAAGGAAAATGGATTGTTTTTTCTCTCCTTTCTACTCATATAAAAAGTTTTTAGGGACGGACACCCATTGTGATAGTTACTAATTAATAGTTTTGTTATAGCCGGCTTAACTGGCCTTTTTTATTTTTTATTGAAAAGGGGAGGAAATTAGGGAAAGTATTTTTTACATTAATTAATTAGATCCCTACTGGTTGAAAGGAGAAAAAAATTAAAAAAATCATTTAGAAAACAAAGAAGAAATAAAAATAAATCTTAAAAAATTAGTTATGGCGTTTTTACTTGTTACAAATGTTTTGCGCACTACAAAAATATTAAAGTTTATTTTAAACATTTTTCTGGCTGATTTAAAATGTTCGAATTTAATTCTGTTTTTAAAAAAAGTTTTATTTCTGTTCTGATTAAAAAAAGTTTTACTTTAATTCTGGTTTTAAGCAAGTTTTAATTAAATTCTGATTTAAATTCTGGTTTAGTTAATTTGTTAGTTATTCTGAAAAAGTTTTAATTCTGATTAGTTATTTCTGTTTTATTTTAATTCTGGTCTTATAAAAAAGTTTTATTTCTGTTCTGATTTTAAAAAAGTTTTAATTTAATTCTGATTAAAAACACATAAAAACAAAGGTGTGTACGCTTTTAAAATAAAACTTTTTTTCTTCTGATTAAATAAAATAAGCTTGAAGCAACGGAAAAACTAAATAAAAGCATAAAAAGTTTCTAGTAATTGGATTAGCACTTTTTTAGGTAGAAAAATGTTTTTAAAAAAATATTTTTATAAAAATTATATTTTTATTTTTAAATTAAAAGTGCTAATGTGTGTGTATATTTATTTTTAACCATTTTATATATTTTTTATTTTTTTATTTTTCCTTCTATTAAATAGCAAGTTTTGGGGAAAATCTCTCTAAAAATTCAGGAATTTACTTGAATAAAATAAAAAAATAAAAAAACGTTAGAACATTAAAAGAGAGGATTAATGACCAAAAAAGTAATAAATAAATGCTTTTTTAGATAAAATCAGAAAATAAAAAAAATTATTTTTGTTTTAAGCCTTGAGGGATAGATTTAATTAATAATCCGTGTTTTGTTATTTTATTTATTAAAATAACAATAAGAAGAAAAAATATGTATGATTTGTGAAGTGTCAGAATTTTGATAAAACCAGAATTTAAAAATTAGAATTTCTATATATCAGAACGTGAAAAATTAAAATTTAATGAAAATCAGAATTTTGAAATTTTAATTGTATAAAAATCAGAATTTTTGATTATCAGAATTTTTAAAAACCAGAATGTTCAAAATCAGAATTTTTATATAAATCAGAATTTAAATAAACAGAATTTAAAAATCAGAATTATTTTGAAAGCAGAATTTATAAAATTTTTATTTTTGAAAATCAGAATTTTTAAAATCAGAAATTTAAAAACCAGAAATTTCAAAAAGCAAAATTTCAAAAATCAGAATTTTCAGAAATCAGAATTTTTATAAAATCAGAATTTTAAAATACTATCAGAATTATTACATCATTGAAGCAAAGTTCAGAATTATTTTCCCTCAACCGTAACAATGTCGAACTTGAGTGAGAAAATATTAAGTTTGACATTTGAATTTTTAATTTTAATAACTACTACTTTTTTCCCTGTTTATGGGAAAATATTTTAAGGTTTTCTGGTTAAAAATTTGTATTTTACAAGTTTTTTTCCATTTTAAGAGTGAACTCAGACTGTCAACTTTTTAGTGAGATTTTCAATTTTAGAAATTTTTACCTCTTTTTTAAATGATTGATTTTCAAAAAATTTTTTGTATAGAAACAATTTTGATTCCCATAATGTACCTACTTTATGCGCAGTTTTAGACTGAAAAATAGTTTTTGGTTCAGGTGTTAATATATTTAAATTAATCATACATATAAATTAAAAATAATCTGATTAACTTGAAGCTTAAAAAAGAAACAGAAAAATTTTTTTTGTATAATTTAATAATACTACCATATAATTTGTCAAGGTATATTGTCAAGGTTGAAGCATGTTTCTATTTAAGCATGTTTCTTGAAGCATGTTTCTATTTACTAAATTTATTTCTGATTTTATTTTGTATATTTCTAAAATTTCTTGAAACTTGTTTCTACTAATTTTAAGCTTGCTTCAGATTTATTTATGAAATTTGTTTCAGATTTGTTGAAACTTTGCTTCACATATTTTTGAAACAACTTGAGTTATCTCGAAACTTTTTTTTTGAAACATGCTTCATGTTTATTTTTGTAGCATGCTTCAAGTTTTTGAAACTTGCTTCTGACGTTTTTTGATGTTCTGATGTCTGATGCATGCTTCAGATTTTTTTTGAAGATGCTTCAAATTTATTTATGAAGCATGCTTAAGGACGTTGAAACTTGCTTCACATATTTTTGAAGCATGCTTCAGATTTTCTGAAGCATGCTTCATATTTTTGTAGGGTGCCTCATATTTTTAAAACTTGCTTCAGACTTTTTTAAGCATGCTTCAATTATTTTCTGAGACTTATTTTTTGAATCAGATCTATGAAACTTGCTTCAAATCTTCTAAAACTTTGTGATTCTTATTTCCCCATTTATAAAAAATATTCTAGAAAATTAATTGGTATATCGGCACTCCTTTTTCCGTTCCTTATTTAAATTAAATAAATTTTATCAAATTAAAAATGTACAAAAACATCAAGATTATTAAATTAAATTAATTTTTAGTTAATTTAATAAAGGGATATTAATAGAAACACACACATTAATGAACCATTAAAAATTAATTTAATAAAAAAATAATATTTTTTAGCTTCGGCATTTTTAAAAAATATTCCGTCGAATGCTTGACTTTAAAAAATTCTTAGAAATAAAATAAAAATATTTCCAAACCTCCCTAAACGATAGAAAGTGGGGTGAGGTGGTGTTAAGAGAGAAAAGTATCGGTGATGCGACGTTGGTTTAGCACTCATAAAATATTTTTTTGAAACCCAAAAAAGCTGAAATTTTGCAGGGATATTCTCAATACTGTTATCCAGTTTCTCTGAAAATTTCAGAATTTTCTGTCAAATAATTCTCAAGTTCTGGTCAAAGAAGTAGCAAAAAGGTAGTATTTTCCCCAAAAATCGACATTTTTGACTGTAACTTTCTTGATAGATAACCAAAAATTCTGAAATTTTATGAGAAAATGAATAAAAGTATTGAGGATATCTATACAAAATTTTAGCTTTCTATGAGCTTTTTGGACGATTTTATAGTCGATCGACCAAGACGCTACATTAATAGATAAAGAGAGGAATAATAGTCAAGAATTAATTTCAAAAAATATTTTTTAATTAATAAATTATTAAAGTTTGCTTAGATTTCAGAATTAATTTCTAAACCTTACCATAATCATGAATACAACTATAATTTACGCATTAATTCGATTAGTACTTGCTTTTGTATTTTTATTTATGCAAATTGCGATTTTGCCGGTAAATCAGGAATTTTAAAAATCAGAATTTTAAAAATCAGAATTCTGAAAAATCAGAATTTAAGAAAATCAGAATTTCAAAAATCAGAATTTTGAAAAATCAGAATTTAAGAAAATCAGAATTTTAAAAATCAGAATTTTGAAAAATCAGAATTTTGAAAAATCAGAATTTTTGAAAATCAGAATTTTGAAAAATCAGAATTTAAAATCAGAATTAAACCTAATTTGCTTCATTTTTCAAGCTTTTTATGCTCTACAAAGATTACCGTCAAAATAGCTGTTACAGAATTATGTTTGGAGTCTGTATAGCGGATATTTTTCAATTATTAGCAAATGGACTTTTTATTTTGCTTGGACTCCTTAATTTTGATTTTTCTGAAGAGTTTGAAAAGGTTGGAATTTTGGATCATGTTTCAACTTTTTTGAAACATGGTTCAGATTTTTTGAAGCATTCTTTTGAGTCCTTGAAACATGCTTCTGATTTACTGAAGCATGCTTCAGCGTGTTTCAGGGTTTCTCAAATGTGCTTCAGCATTTTTGAAACATGCTTTAGGTTATCTGAAGCATGCTTCAGCATTTTTGAAACATGCTTTAGGTTATCTGAAGCATGCTTCAGCATTTTTGAAACATGCTTTAGGTTATCTGAAGCATGCTTCAGCATTTTTGAAACATGCTTTAGGTTATCTGAAGCATGCTTCAGCATTTTTGAAACATGCTTCAGATAATTGTTTCACATTTTATTTTCATACTTATTTTTAGTGGGGAGGTGGTATAAACGCTGCAAGTTGGAATATTCTGTTCTTTTTACAATTACTATTGGCATTGAATCGTTGCAGTGTTGTACTTAAAAATTGCTTTTTGATTTCAATAAAAGAGCAGGAACTGCCATGGGAGCGTCGATTATTCAATGTAATATAAAGGAGAAAAAATCAGAATCTTAACAAATAAAAATCAGAATAGGCGAATCAGAATCTAAATTCAGATTTAAAAATCAGAATTTTAGAATCAGAATTTGAGATCAGAATTTTAAAAACAAAATTTCAGAAATCAGAATTTTAAAAACATAATTTAATAAAATCAGAATTGAATAATAATCAGAATTCTCAGAAACAGAATTTAAAATCAGAATTAAATAATAATCAGAATTCCAGAAATCAGAATTTTTAAAAACAGAATTTTACATAGAGATCAGAATTTTTAAAACCAGAATTTAATAAAATCAGAATTTAAAATCAGAACTAAATAATAATCAGAATTCTCAGAAATCAGAATTAAATTCAGAATTTAAGATCAGAATTTTTAAAACCAGAATTTAATAAAATCAGAATTTTTAAAAACAGAATTTAATAAAATCAGAATTTAAAATCAGAATTATCAGAAATCAGAATTAAATTCAGAACTTAAATCATAATTTTCAGTAAATCAGAATTTAAAAATCAGAATTAAAAACTTTCAATTTAAAAAAACAGAATTTTTCTTTTTTCAGTTTTTGCTACTACTCAGTTTGTAAGCTTATCTATATTTCCCAATAAAAATATTTTTTATTAAAAAATTTAAAGCGTAATCTGTGTTGGAATTGTTTGGGTATTTGTCAGTCCATATTGCGGTATTCATTTTACACGAAAATTTTATTGGAGTTATGCTAATCAGTATCCTTGGACTGAAACTGTGAGGGATATTGAATATAAATCTACTGGGTTTTTGCCGTTAATTACTTTTATTGCTTATATATCTATTGTTTGTATACTTAAATGGGTAAGTAAAAATCAGAATTTGTGAGCTAATAAAAATCAGAATTGATCAGAAAGAAAATCAGAAAATTGGAATAATAAATATCAGAAAAAAACAGAATTCTGTTCTGAAATAATTTAAAATTCTGGTTTTGTTTATCAGAATATTCGGGAAACCAGAATCAGAATACCAGAAAATCAGAACTCTGACTTTAAAAACAGAATTTTCTGCGAATAAGAATTATAAAAATCAGAAAAATAGGAAATTCTGATTTTTTAACAATCAGAAAACCAGAATTCTGATTATAAAAATATCAGAATTTCAGAAAATTAATGCAATTCAGCATTCATACCAAACAAATCAGAATAAAAAAATCAGAATAAAAACCAGAATTCTGACTATAAAAATATCAGAATATTATAGAAATTAATTCTGAAAATCAGAATTTCTGAAAATTAAACAACTTAAAATTCTGACCTAAAAGAATCAGAATAAAAGAATCAGAATAAAAAAATCAGAATTCTGATATTCAAAAATAATCTAAAATTATTTGTTCTGAAACTTTTATTTTAAGAGACGTGGGAATCAAAATACTGGTGAAATTTTAAGCCGCCAAGAAAGACGTATTTTGCTTCAGGTGTCTTTAATTTAATTTTTAATTATTTCTAATAAATTTTAGACAAGTTCACAGTTTTTGCCATTAAGTCTTTTAATGATTTGTGGTTATTTATTACCCAATAATGCTTCTTTGGACTTGATTGCTTTTCTTAATATTGGATCGGTAATAAAAAATTTTTTTTGTTAAAATATCAAAATGTTCTGAAAAAAAGCAGAATTCTGATTTTCTGATTTTTTAAAATCAGAATAAAAATCAGAATTCTGAAGAAATCAGAATCAAAGAATCAGAAAATCAGAATCAAAAAATCAGAATATTCTGAAAAACCAGAATCATAAAAACCAGAAAAATCAGAATTCTGACTTTAAAAAAATCAGAATAAAAATCAGAATATTCTGATATTCTCTCAACTATAAAATTAAAAAATCCAATTTAGATGCTTATTTGTGGAGTAAATCCCTTCCTTTACTTGGCTTTAAATGTTCAATTTCGTGAACGTTTTCTACTTATGATTTGTTGCAGCAAAGAAAAGAAAAATAAATTTGTTATGGCCGTCCCTCCAAAAACAAATTTTGCTAAAATTAGTCCAACTGGAAATAATTTAGTAAATAATTATAATGGTCCAAAACGCGTCAATTCAATGCCACAAATATCAAAATGAAAAGAGGATGATAAAGATATATAGGTGTCTGTGGAGTGTTAAGTATTGTATTATGTGTAACATTCTCTCTTTTCTCTACCTCGTTTGACATTTCCAGAATACTTCCGGAATGTATTTTATTAATAACTTTCTTTCCGGAGCAATTATAGAACCTTCCGGAAGAATATTTTCAAATTCTATCGCATACTTTCTGTGAATTATCTTTTCCGGAATTTGTATAACTATAGAGTCAAGTTACAACTTTTCCGGAAAACTATAATACATAAACCTTCCGGAAAAAGTTCTATATTCCGGAATTTATATAACTATGGAATAACTATGAAATAAGTTTCCGGAAAATTATACTTTCCGGAAAAGTTATATTTTTTCCGGAAAAAGCTCTCTATTCCGGAATTTATATAACCATGGAATAGGTTTCCGGAAAATTATATACTTTCCGGAAAAGTTATATTTCCAGAAAACAAATAAACTTTTCCGGAACATTTTTAATTTTCAAAACTTTCCGGAAAATATGTCTATATATAACTAGTACTATTTCTTTTTTACTCTTTTCTTTAATTCTCAAACTTCTCCAGATTTTTTAACACCTCTAATTGTAAATTAAAAATAAAAATTGTAATTAAATTTTAAAACAAAAATTAAAAGATTTATCGCCATCCTTTGCCAGCCATTCGCCCGCCATTTTTTTTTGCACAATAAATTTTTTTGTAATTTTTGGGGAGAAGGGGGAGGAAAAATGAAAGAAGGGAGAGAGATGAATTGGAGGTTTTTTGTTTGGTAAAAAAATTTTTTTTTGAAAATTAGTCCCGTTTCTGAGCTTTTTTTCGTCTTTTTTCAATTTTCGTTTGTCGAAATACTAAATTTTACAATTTGGTTAGGTTCTATTTGTGAAACATAAATATCTCCATTATCGCTGATTGCAAGGGCATGGGCGTTTTCGAGACCCTAAAAATTGAGAGAAAATCTTTTTCGTTTATTTCGAATTTCCGTATTTACCTTAGCGAAGCTATTAGCCCTTCCTGTGTTCATATCCATTACGAAAACTTGGGATTCTAATTGACTGCCTTGATCTTGATTGGTGACGCCGACGAGGAAGTGTTCTTAAAATGAAGATAATTTAATAAAAGGTTTCCGGAATTATTATAACTCTGGAATTGGATACTTTTCCGGAAAGTATTTAATTTAAATTCCGGAAAGCACTTTCTGGAAAATAATTTTATAAAGTTTCCGGAAAAGTTTTCCGGAAAACTTTTTTATAAAACATTCCCGTAAACACTTTCCGGAACAACTCCTATGTTATAAAATATCAGGGGTGTGCGCAAGAGATAAGTTAAACGCAACGCAAAATTCACAAATCAACGTAAAACGCGCACCGCTGGACCCTATTCAGAAAGAACAAAAATCTTGCCTTTCTCTCGGATAGCAAAGACTCGACCAATATTTTCAGCCTTTGTGAAGAAAGTGCCGGTGGGGACGTAAGCACGTCTATGTTGGTGTTGAGCGCCTTCTAATCCAGCAGAAAAGCATTGAATACTTTAAAGGGATAAAATTAAAAATTCAAAAGAGGAAGGCTTGTCTACCGTTCATTTTCACGGTCAGCAACACAGAGTAAGTTGAGATCCTCAATTAGGGTTAGAGAGTGTGGTACAAGGAATTCTCCATTTTTGGGTGTTTCACTGGCTAAAAACAATACAAATTATTATTATTTTTATAGGGAATGAGACTTCACTATAAGATAACCCTTGGGCTGAAAACCCGTACCTTATAATGAAAGTATCCTAAATAGAGGTGTATCTAATATTGAGAGTCTCTTATAGAGAAGGTCTAGAAAACCCGTACCTTATAATGAGAGAGCCTTAAATAGAGGTGTAACTAATATTGGGAGTCTCTTATAGAAAGGTTTAGAAAACCTTGTACCTTATAATGAGGGTGCCTTAAATAGAGGTGTATCTACTATTGAGAGTCTCTTATAGAGAGGTTCTAGAAAAGCCTCCCTTATGATGAAAGTGCCTTAAATAGAGGTGTATCTAATATTGAGAGTTTCTTATAGAGAGGTTCTAGAAAAGCCTCCCTTATAATGAAAGTGCCTTAAATAGAGGTGTATCTAATATTGAGAGTTTCTTATAGAGAGGTTCTACAAATAATAAATCATTACAGTCAGGCTTCCCAAATTGACTGAGCAATTTCCCATCCTTGTCAAACTTCATTATTCGACTATTACAGTAACCATCTGCCACGAAGAACTCTCCTGTACTGGCAATAGCAACGTCTGTAGGTTTGCAAAAATGTTTGTCATCTGCCCCTGGAACAAGTTTCTCTCCCAAACTCATAATCAACTGAAAATAATTTTGAGTGATTTCATCAGTGGAAACCCCCCCCCCCCCCGCTAACTTTAAAGTCCTTGTCAAGTTTGTGGACTTGATGACTTCCAACGTCAGTAACCCAGCTATTGCCGTGGGCATCGATTGTCAGTCCATGAGGCATGTAAAACATGCTTTTTCCGTGTTCTTCCAAGACTGCCCCTGATTCTGTGTCTATAACAGCAATTGTTGTGTTTGGAATGATGCCCAGGGATCTGCAAATGAGTGCTGAAGGTGGAACGACATTTGTGAACAAACGACATTTGCGTAAACACTATAAGCCTACAGTACCTTTGTATTATGTGATAAACTACAGAATAAAGTTATAATTTTCCGGAAAAGTTTTATTCACCGAAAACTTATAAGCACTCCGGAAAACATTTATAAAATTTTCCGTAAGCTTATTCAGCAAATGTCGTTTGTTCGCAAATGTCGCTCTATCAAATTTCATTGTAAAAACCTGTTTAGGTGGTTGTTCTCATCAAATGAACTTTAAATTAATAATGTTTTTTTTTTAATTTTCCAAGGATTACTACTTACAATTCATCCCAAACTCTGTCAGATCGGTGAAAAAGAACAAGTCGATTCAATGGATCCAATGCAATACCCGGAGCTTGCCCAATGTTTGGAGGAAGTTGTAACACAAAACTCTCCTTTTAAATTGACCAAATAAATAAAATATAACCTCAAGACCCACTTTTAGATACCCCCTGGGGAATTATAAGGGAATGAACTAAATTAGTGAAAAGATTGTACTTCATAATGAGGGTTAATTAAATAGAGAGTATCGCTTAGGGAGCTCCACAACCACCCAGAAGTAAACTAACTTTGAAAAGCCTAAATAAAGGTATTTATAAAATAGAGGGGGTATCTAATTATTGTATACGATATTCATGCTGTGGAAAAATTGTTTGGATGGGAGATGGAATTGAACCATCATGGGAATGAGCCCAGACCGAAGCACAACCGACTGTGCCACCATCCAACCCGATGTTGGGTTATTTATTTTCATTTATGTTGATTATGCAAGTGCGGACACAACACTAATAATTAGCAGTACCCAATATAGAGGGTATCTAATAACAAGGTCAATTGTGTGTGTCTAACCTCATCCTTCAATTCATCAACTCCTTCAGCCTGTTCCAGTTCATTCTCTGTTTTCTCTTCAAATGGGATTTGTTTATGTTGGTTGTTGTTTTGGAGTTGAGCTAAAGCTGCTCCAACTCGACTTAGGGTTTCTTAAAGGTTTCAATTAATTTTTTAATTTTTAAAATTTTAATGCCTTCATTGCCGAGATTGCCCTGTTGAAACAATTCAGCCCACGAATTGTCATAAAATTCTGGAATTGTACCTCCCAACAGCACTTGGCCATGTGCTAGGATAAAGGCCAATAATAAAGATAAAGAGACATTGGACATCCCTATAATTGTTTAATCAGAAAATTTTACCAGTCAACCTTCGATATAAGAAATCTCATTATAAGACACTCCCTTTGGTCTGAAAAATCGTACCCTATAATGAGATGTATCTTAAACTGAAAGGTATCGTTTAGACCTCTCTCCTCCACACAGTGGCCAATCACTTTAAAAAGTGGTGGCCTTATATTGAGGTGTACATAAAACAGAGGTTAAACTTTCAGTTTAAGATACATTTTTTAAACGCCTGTGCTTTGGATCGGGGAAGAGGGATCGGGGGAGAGATGTCCTTATGATACTTCCAATTTAAGCTACCCTTCATTATAAGAGACAATTTTCAGCCCCAAAGGGGTGAATTATAACGAGATTTGACTGTGAAAGATGTTTCTATGGGAAGATGTTTTATTTATTCACATGGAATGAAGATGGAAGATAGGGGAAGGAGGGGGACAGCTTTTTTTGCCATTCAATTTAAAATCGATAAAGATTTGGCAAAAAAATGTCGTCATCTTCAACAAGGAAATTTAATATATAAATTTGCTGTCTTTCTAACGCTATAAGGCTGCAGAAAAAATTTCTCGTGCCAAACAGTTGAAGGTTTTGTGAGAATAAAGACGAGAAGAAAGAATATAAGCAAGCATTGCCAAAGGCAGTCGATGGCATTATCTAACACTACAATTTAAGGTTGGGACAAAATACCGTCCGACTAATATAGTCGACATACAATGGAGTAGAAATAACGTCCATTTTGCTTCGAGAAGACAATTTTAAAATATAATTTCTAGGCAAAGAATAGGGGTATTGTGACTTATAGCGGGTTTTTTGTTTCTGAACCGATTTCGACAAATGAGGTGTCATTCGAAAGAGCATCGAAAATGGAGTCGAACTAGATATGGGGGAAGTCGATCCGACAATCAGGGGCCGAGTTACAGACCCCTGAAGTTTGAAAAAGAGAAAGGGGGAGTAAGCTCATTTTGGGGTGAAAAATTCGAAAACGCAAATAATAGCTCATTCGACTCAGCTCGACGAGCTGAGTCGAATGACACCAAAATCAGCTCGATATCTTGATTCTGAGCCAAGATAAACAGGTTCAAAATGGTCAACATAAACCTATGGAGCGTCGGCGAGGCGCTTGTGCGAAACCCCGCGCTTCGCGCGGGGTTTCGCGGCACGCGCCTCGCGGGGAGTCTACGGGCGATGGGTCTGGTTCAGTAACATAAACCTATCCCTATCTCCCTTGCTCTGGACGTACTTGGGCCTCCGTAGTAGCAAAAACCTCCACAAAGACCATAGGTAAGGAGCTAAAACAAACGATCATAACTTTGTCAAATCAAGTCGGATTTCGGTGATTTTGGTGTCATTCGACTCAGCTCGATGAGCTGAGTTGAATGAGCTATTATTTGCATTTTCGAATTTTTCACCCCAAAATGAGCTTACTCCCCCCTTCTCTTTTTCAAACTTCAGGGGTCTGTAACTCGGTCCCTGATTGTCGGATCGACTTCCCCCATATCTAGTTCGACTCCATTTTCGATGCTCTTTCGAATGACACCTCATTTGTCGAAATCGGTTCAGAAACAAAAAACCCGCTATAAGTCACAACACTCAAGAATAGTAAAAACCTAACAACCTTAGGGTCTAAAGACTTAAAAGACTTAATGTTAGCTCTAATAAATACATATATCTGGGGTGTTTCTTCTAATGTCAGGACGGTAACTTGTCAGACGATGTTTTGCCCCCCATCTAACAAGTCCAGTACAATTTTTATCTTCTGTCTCTGCCTCGTATGTCTTTATCCCGCAAACGTAAATACAATTCTACAAGCTTTATTATTAAAAAATTTTTTTGTTTTTTACTTCATTCCTCTCTCTCTTCTTTTTCCTTATTTTATATTTTTTCAAAAAAATTTCTGCGGGACTGTGCCGAACATTTTCATATATTCTTTTATTTTACATGTTCGCCCTTTCTCTCTTTTTCTAATATTTGTTAGGCCAAAGAATTATGTAAAGAGAATTTCTAAAAGCTTCACTCGGCTGTAATGTAACGCACACATGAAATGCCACTATGTTCCTTTTATATGCTAATATATAACATTTATTGATAAAATAAGTGAACATTTTAAAAAGACGAAAAATGAGAATTATTAGAAAAAAAATTTTTGAAAAAATTAATATTGTGTAATTACAAAAAATTTTTTTAAAAAGAGAATTACTGTAAGCTAAAAAATTTTTTTAGAACATTTATATCAATAAAAGCATGATTTTACAAAAAAAAACCAGATAAATGCCAAAAAATGTTAAAAACAGGACAAAAAAACCTTCCAGAATAGTTGAAAATTCGTAGTACAGACGATACTTTTTGGTATTTATCGGTTGTCCGATATATCCTATTTTATTACCCTCAACGTTTCAGGAAGGCTTATATTTATGGACAAAAATTCAATCAAAAAATAATTTTTTTTTAAATTTTTCCACCTAATATTCTTCACTCACAAACAACTTTCATAACCTCAACCCTCCGTTCTCCACTATTCTTAACCAAAGAATAACGAAATTCTTCCATTCCAGAACAAGCTGCTCCAAAATTTCCTTCAATTGTCGTTGCTATTATTCCCCCAAAAAAGTTTGGATAAAACTTTTTAATTCTTAAGATAGCTTCTCTAGTTGCTTCAAATGGACTTTTGCCTTGACGCATTAATTCTACCACCAGAAAACTTTAAAATAAAAAAAATTTTGATTTAATATGTTGATAAAAATGAAAAAAAGAAGAGGCTTCGACAGCTTGTAGGAGAGAAGGGATGGAAAAGGGGAAAGCAGAAAGGGGTCTAAAAAAATGTGGTTCACACCAGTGCTGGATATAGCCCCGGGGAGCTAGCTCCGGAGCTAAGATTTTGAGAATCCCGAAGAGCCAAGATTTGAAAAGGGCCGGAGCCAGCCAGCACAGATTACTACACAGAAAAAAGGGTGTGTAGTATACCAGTGATTAGACTGGATGAAAAACCTAATTTGGTTGGTCACTGGGTGGGGAAGTTGCCTAAGCGATACCGCAGCAAGAATGTACCGTAAATACTATTTTTTACCTAGGCACAAATCTCATCATTACATCCCCATCTCCAGTAGCTGCAGCACCACCAACATAATTATCAACATATGCCCCAGCCCCTACAATAGGCGAATCACCTACACGACTTAAAAATAAATTTCTTAAAAAATTATTTTGGAGGAAAAAATAAACCCGGGTATTTTATTTCTTGCTCCATTTGAAGATGTTCCAGCAGCCACATTTCCATTTTCATCAACTAGTATCATCCCGATAGTATCATGATTGTCTTTGTTAAATGTGGGGAATTGATCCTAAATTTGGATTTTAAAAAAAATTTTCTACAAATCAGAGGTGGATTGAGGCAATAAAGTGTAAAAAATCGAATCGTAAACTCAAATATTCAAAAGAATCAAAAACAGAAAAAGTAAGAAATTAAAATCCCGATTGAGAACATTAAAAAATGGGTGAAGCAGTATTTTGATAAATCCAGATTTTTGGGATTTTAGCCCAAAAACCCCCGGCTCGGTCAATTTGAACGAAAAATCAAGGATGCCGGGGTAAATGTTTTCTTTTTTCCTTTCATAAGCCAAAGGGAACAACATAACAGAAAAAGAAATATGAGCAAGAATTTTTCCTTTAAGCGAGTAAACGCCAAAAATGCAAATAAAGGAAAATGTGCATTCTCTTTGCGGATATATAGGAAGTCAACTGGATATTTACCGGATACCGGACCAGGCAATTAAAAAATTTCAAGCTATAATAATTACTAATCCAAACCTTTTTTGAATTAATTGAAAATTTCCATTTTGGTTTGTAAGGACCACAAGTTGTTTTAGGGTTAGGAAAAACATTCTTGAAAAGAAATATTTATTTCCTTAATTTTTATTTAAACCTTCCAAAAATTTGGCTGACATTTATCAACAAGCCATTGTTCATGCATTTTTCTAGATTCTGGAGTTGACAATGATTTAAGTTTAAACCCCATAGATTGGGCAAATTTTGTTGCTGGAAAAATTTAAAAATGTAGGGAATTTTATAAAAATTAAAGGTGGGGACTAGGCACGGAACTAAAAATTTTTTCGGAGGGGGAGGGCAATGAGGGCCGCCTGGTATGGGCCTGATTGGGACGACGGGAACCAGTAAGGCTTTTTAATCAAATCTCTCCATGAAATCCAAGAATTGAGATTTCTCTAATAAAAAAAAACTTCTCCAAACCTTTTTCTCCAACCAAAAGTGAATGTTCTGTATAGTTCATTACTGCCCAAGCTACACGTGCAGCTGACTTAACATTCCTAATAAAAATTGAACATAAAGTTGTTTTTCAGACTCAAGGTTTGGAATATTATCAGAATACCTGTACAATCAACGAAAAAGGTCTTCAGAAATTTTCGACCAAAAAAATTAAAGGAAAAATGTCAGCAAAAATTGTGGTATAAAATTGTCTACAAAATTTTGTGGAAGAATCATTAAATGGAAACAAGGATTTGGTATTATTCTCATTTATTTTAAGAAAAAAGAAGTATACCTAAGCGCCGCCACAGCCCCACTTTTATGTCCAAATCCATCTATTAAAAGAGAATCAAGAGTTGTTTCTCCATTTTCATCGGGAGAACCGCCAAAACCAACAGTATGGTCACATTGACGATTTTCACATTCAGAAAGACCTAAAAACAAAAATTTTATAAATGAAGGGGGAAGAGAAAAGAGACTGAGACGGAGGCAGCAAGAGGCCGGATTCCCCTGTACCAAGACCTACTTCCCTGTTATTTTTTAATTTTCCTGGGTATTTCGTAGATTGCAAGCCGGCCCAAGTCAATTAAACCAATAATCTGTTCAGGGATCGAAATTTAATCTAAAAATGAGTTCTAGACTCCAAAAGACCCCAAAAATTAAATTTTAAAAAATCAGCCTGACTTTCCTTAACATTTTATATCTACAGAAAGGAGAAAAATTTAAACCTTCAACCAAAGCATTTAGACGACGAAAGGATCCATTTGCATTTTTAGATGTCGAAATGAGTGTTTCAAAAGCTAAAAAATTAAAATTTTAATTTAAAATTATGTAAGCATCAACCTTTAAGAGCGGCCGATTGGAAGTCTTTAGTTGCCCATGTGGAGATGCTGAGTAAAGAGAAACCTATAGAACAGGTCCGTTAGAGTCTGGTTTTGGATTAAAATTTAAGTAGGACCTTCCAATAAAATGCCCTTTAGCTATACCTCGGCCCTTTAGCTATACTTTTTTAGGCAATCCCGGAGAATTGGGGTTTCTTCGAAAATAAATTTTAAAAATAAGAAAAAGGTTTTTTCTAGGGTAAAAAAATACGCTGATTACGAATCTGAGCTCGGATTTTGAAAAAGTCGAATCCCGAACCCGAATTCGGAATTTGACCCCGGATATTGTCGGACATTGTACAAAATGATCAGTCTTTTGAAGGCATGTAGAACTCATCGAGCTGTATCGAATGACACCAAAATCAATGAAATCCGACTTGAATAGACCGAGATACAGACCCCTGAAAATTGAAAAACCATAGGGACGATATTTTGGAGTAAAAAAAAGTTTGTACAAATGATAGCTCATTCGAAAGAGCTCGTCGAGATGAGTTGAATGACACAAAAATTACAGTAATTGACCAAGTTTTGACAAAGTTATGACATAAGTCGCCGACTCCTACTCCTTTTTCTTATTTTTAAAATTTTTATTCGAAGAAACCCCAATTCTCCGGGATTGCCCTTTTTTAGATTTGGTTACCCAATAGTTTGGGAAGGTGTCTAAACGATACCCCAAATTAAAATACTCCTCATTATAAGGTCCGTTTTTTATCCCTAAAGGTTCTTAGTTACAAAGGGGGTATTTGCAAAAAGGAATATATAAAAGTTAAGAAATTTTTAAAGGACTTACATTAAAGGCAGACCTTCAGACTTTGATTGGTAAATTAATAAAGATAATATTATTAGAAATACACTTATTTGGTGAAAATATTCTGGTTGAGGACACTTCATAATTTTTTGTAACAAATTTGGATTAATCTACATACAGTAAGGTGCAAAAGTTTATGCCGCTACACCTTGCACGCAGAAAAGTTGATTTATCTCAGGAAGAAAAGGGACTTAAATAAAATCGATTATATATTAATTAAATATAGTTCATCCTTTATAATATCCATAAAAAATTTTTTTTAATAACCACGTTATTTTAAAATTTATTCGGTCATAACTTATTTACCTCACATTTTGGGGGAGCAAAAGTTTATGCCGCTTGTAGGAAAAAATTTTTTTTGGTTCCAAAACAAGTCGAAAAAAGTTCAAAAATTTTTTATAAATATTTCTATTGATAATGAATGGAAAAAGAGAAAAAACTAAGTCTATACTTGCTTTATTCATTGAGATCCCAAATCTCAAAAATCAACGGGAAATGAGGTTACAGTACTTGAAAAAATATTTAAGCTCCCTAGGACCTGTATCAAAAATTCTTTTTGGGCTCATTAGAAAGCCCATAAAATTTGCTACAAACTACACTTTGTCTCATATGTGTGAAAAATTTCATCTTCGAGATAGGGTCGCATGAATTCACAAGGTTGTCAAAATCACCCGAAATACCCCATAAAATGCTCATTCTTATTTCTTCGGTAATTCATGCTACCTTACCTCCGAGTTGAAATTTTTCAAATATAGGAGTCCAACCTTATTTTGTAGTAAATTTTATGGGCTTTCAAATGAGCCAAAAACGAAAATTCAAAAAAATTCATAAGGGTCGAAAATATTTTTTCAATTATTGTACCCCGATTTTACGTTGATTTTTGCTATTTTTAATCTTGATGAAAAAATTATTTACCTAATTCATTCTTTTTACTTTTCCATTCAATATCGATATAGATGTTTATAAAAATTTTTTAAACTTTTTTCGACTTGTTTTAGAACCAAAAAAATTTTTTTCTAAAAGCGGCATAAACTTTTGCTCCACCAAAATGGGAGGTAGGTAGGTTTTTCCGCCTATAATTTTTGATTAAAATTCGTATGGGAAATTTTTTTTATAAATTTTGGCCTAACTACAGTTTCCGGATCAGGCTCAGAATTGGACGATTTATATGTCATTCGAAAGAGCTCATCGAGCTGAGTCTAATGGCACCAAAATTTTTCTGCGGAAAAAATTCGGAGCCGAGATATAGGGCTCGAAATGGTCAAAAACCATAGGGGGGAGTAAGCTACTTTTTGGGGTGAAAAATTCAATTTTACAAATAATAGCTCATTTGAAAGAGCTCGTCGAGCTGAGTCGAATGACACCAAAATCAGCTCGATTGGATGATTATGAACAAAATTATGACCAACAGAATCTTCGCTGGAAAAACTGTTTTTGTGCTGCTACGGAGGGTAGGCCGGGCATGGTCTTCGCTACACGATGGCCGTGCTTCGCTGCGGTCGTGCTCGCTGCGCTCGCGGCGACCGTAGCGAAGCGGCGGCCGTCGTTCCGCTCGACATGCCCGGCTTCCTCCGCAGCGGCAAAAACTTTTTTCCGCGAAACCCTTGTGGAAGGGGCTAAAACAAACGAACTTTGTCAAATGACGTTTGATTTTGTTGATTTTGGTGTCATTCGACTCAGCTCGATGACTCTTTCGAATGAGTTATAATTTGCATATTCGAATTTTTCACCCCCAGAAAACAGCTTGGTCCCCCCTATGGTTTTTTGAACTTTAGGGGTCTGTAACTCGGCTCAGAATTTTTTCCGCTGAAAAATTTTGGTGTCATTCGACTCAGCTCGACGAGCTCTTTCGAATGACATATAAATCGTCCAATTCTGAGTCTGATCCGGAAACTGTAGTTTAGCCTAAATTTTTAAATAGAAGGCCTACTCTTAAAAAATACATAATCGATTTTATTTTTGTCCCTTCTTTTCTCGGGTTATATCGACTTTTTTCTATGCGAAGTATAGCGGCATAAACTTTTGCACCTTACTGTATAACAAATTTTAAGAATTTATGGTACCACTAAATAGAAAACAAAAACACAAAAAATAAAACACATCAAAATTTGCCAAAAACAACCCCAAGAAATTAAAGCAGCTTGAAATTTGCAATATTTATTTGTTTGGCATTCTGTTTATTTAAAATGACATTTTGTCTAAACATTTAGTATAAAAGCAAAAATGAGAGAAGATTAGAGAGTGAAAGAAGAGTAAAAACAGGAAAAAGTAGTTTTCGGTTTCGTGTTCGTTTTTGCGCGTTTCGTGTTTTTTTTTGTTTATTTCCTTTACAATTAGTATTAAAGACTTTTCACAATTTAAATGGGCCTTATCTAAAAACGAGGTAAAATCAAAACTTTGATTTTAAGCATTATTTTTTTGTTCTGTGACTGACTCTTTGTGAATGAGCAATTAGATTTAGACAGTCACACGAACATTATATTTACTTTAAGTTCTGAGTTACCTTTACCTCGTTTCTAGATATAGCTTTTGTACGTGTATTCTTATTAATTCCAAACCTCTCTCCTTCATCCAGTTTTTCCTTTAAAGTGGACATAATGGTCACCCTTAATTTTACTCTATTTTTCTTCGGAAACTAAATATTAACTGCTAATGGGACGTCTGCCTTTGTATATTACTACTGGAAAGATTCCTCGTTTACCAGAATTTTGTGAGTTCATTCTTAAGGAAAGTCTGACCATTATGTACATCTTGAAGAAAAAATTGAATGGGAGTGGGGCATTGAATTACGCTCAATCTTTTTTTTTACTTTAGAGCTATAGAATCTAAAATTTTAAAAAATGTCTACTACTGCTGGAAGGATTCCTCGTCCACCGGAGCATATTATGCGCTATCCATTGCACAATGTCGCCAAGGTTTTTGGAAATATGGCGCTTGCATCTTCCTTTTTGTCTGCAATTGCTTACGCTTATTTCTACGTATTGCCTCGTCGTCATCAATATCGCGTGTTTATGCAGTTTGTTTTTTAATTCTTTAATTCTGAAAATTCTCCCGAAATCCGCAAAAAGTTGCGGATAATTTTACGGACAAAAATTTTCTTTTTTTCTGAAATAATCAAAAGGGGTGCTTAAACGGGGACACGCCCAAGTAGGCGCGCGGCCAGGTAGGCGCAAAGCCATAACTACTTGGAAAATTTCTGGACCTTAATAATTTTGGTACCATTCTCTTTAGCTCGGTGAGTTTAATACTAAATTTTGAAAGATTCGGAAATTTTGAGTCAAGTTATGGCTTTGCGCCTACTTGGCCGCGCGCCTACTTGGGCTGTACCCGCTTAAACGTGCCTAGACATTTTTAAATATTTTTTTTTCTTTAAATTTTAAAAATCTTTTTTTAGAAATTATGACCCGTATGAGGAGATGCGTCGTATCTGTGCTTATCCAAAGAAGTATATGATCACCTGCCCTACTGTTTTGGCTGAAAAGTTGAAGGAGAAGGTTTATTATTGAGGAATTTGAATGATCTGGGTTTAGACACTAGTAGGGAGGGTTAACCTGGCCAAATTTTCGATTTGGGTTGGAAATGGTGAAGCTGAAAAACCCTGATCCTTGGTAGCAATGACCAGTTGCTTTATTTTGTGATAAATCCACAACCTTGTGAAATATCCTGGTCTGGCCTCCAGAGCCTTGTAAAATTAAAGCGTGGTTTGGTGCAGGTCGTAACTGTGGGTTGCACAAATTTCGCAGTTTTCAATTTCGGATTTGGAAGATATTTTTTCAAGAAAGGGTTAAAGAATGAAACAACGGGCTCCCTTTTGTTTTTTTGGTTCTAAACAACGGGCTCCCCTTTGTTCTACATAATTTTTTTTTTGATTGCAAACAGCCTGCTTTTCTTAAAATCTCTATTTTTAACGTTACTTGTTTTGGGAATCCCTTCCAAAAAAGGCCTAAAAAATATTTGAATCACCCTTTATATTTTAAATGCCTTAATTCTTTTTTCCTTTTTTAGTCCTGTTAATGACTAGAGTTATGTGTTTTCTTTCCAAAAACTAATAAAAATTGTTTTTCAGGGCATGGAAGTGGGAGATTATCCTGAACTTTCAAGCGATAATGCGAACATGAAGATGACTACTCCAATGGGCAAAGAAGAGAAGAAGTCCAAATCTGTTGAAGAATTTTCGGAATAGGAAGAGGGAAGGTTTGACTTTATAGAAGGATAAAAATAAATATAAAAAATAGATGTGTGTTTTTGTTAAATTTGTGTATGTCAATTGTGGTAGATAAAAAAAGTTTTCTGATTTTTTATTTTTATCTGAAGAGAAAAAGTTTAATTACTTTATATATATTTTTTAAATTTTATTGTTTAAATCCATTTTTCTGCAAACTCGCTAAATCAAATAAAATTTGTCAAGTCCGCAATTTTATTCGGGAAAACAGTTTTCAATTTTTGATTTGGAAGAAAGGGTTAAAAAAATAAAACTTCGGGCTCCTCTTTGTTTTACGTAAATTTGTTTTCGATTGAGAGTACCCCTGTTCATAGAAATCCCTTTTTTAATCTCCGTTACGTCTTTTTGGAATTTTTTGAACAAAAATTTACTGGGAGGAAAGGTTGCTTTTAACTTCCAGCGAAAATTTTGCGGACTGGCAAATTTTATTTTTGAACCTGGTTGTCTCACTTTACGGGAAAACTTTTTTTGCGGTCTTTATTTGTATTTTTAAAAATTTTTGGAGACGCCAGAAGATTTTCAAATTTTAGTTATCAAAGTTCCTGGGCACATTCTAGTATTCTATTAATTTCACATTCTTTAACAATTTGCAGATTTTATTAAAAAAATAATTTTAAAAATGTTTTCTATGCTTGGTGCTGGAGCAGTTTCGGCAGTTGCTGCTGCAATCATTTATGCCAACCTTCCTACTCGTTTGACTATTGGAGGTGTACTTCCAACTATTGACTATTTGTCGAAAATAAATTTAAAATTGATTGAGAAAGGGAAAGGCGATGCTGCGATTTTTGAAGGAAAAAATGTTTTGGTTTGTTTTTTTTTATTTTATGTTTCTTGGGTTGCTTCCTTCCTTTGATTTTCTGTAAAAGATTTTCAGTGGGAAAATTAAGAAAACTGGCTAAATTTTAAAAGGGCTTGTATTAAATTTTTAGATGGCCAATAAGCCGAAGTTCCTCTTTAGCACATCGGGCAAATATTTGGATTTTACTTTCTTTCCTTTTCTCATTTTAGAGGGTGTAGTCTTGATTTCTTTTAACCTTCCAGTTTAATTCCTACCCGAATTGACAATAGCTCATAAAAAATTCTGTCCGTTTTTGACTGGAAAGATTTAAGGAAAAATTTATCTCTACTTTGTCAACTTAAGCCGATAAGTGTAGGTGCACAAGGTGCAAAACTCTATCAAGTTGTAACTATTTCTAGTAATTCTGAAATATTTGGGGATGACGGAGACGCTGTCAACTAAAGGCTTACTTTGACAAATAAATTTTTAGGGAAGCTAGGTCCCAAGAGTTATTGAATAAAGTGAATTTAAATAAAATATTTATCTTTAAAATTAAAAATACAATTAAATATTTTTGTAAAGAATTAATGGAAAATTGAAAACTGAAGATGATAGGGAAGATCTGCCTATTGTTTATATAGGGGATTTAATGGACAATAGGCAGAGATTTACACAATAATGAATAGAGAAGTGATATGAAAAATAGTATTAACGAGGGGTGAAAAGACAATAGTTTCCGGAAAAAAGAAGAGAGAATAAAGGGTCAAAGTGGCAGCTTATGGGAAAATAATTTATGACATTGTCTGTCGTGGACAGGTGGAATAAAGGGAAAATTAGAAAGAAATATTTAAATTTATTAATAATTATAATTTCGTGTTCCTTACACGACACTGGCGGCCGCGCGAAGACGTATTTCCTCGCTTCTTTCTTCTTCGTCTTTCTTCTCATCTTTAATTTTCCTCATTATTGTGTTCATGATTATTTCTTCTGTTTTTTCTGATTCGGGTGTTTTTCCTATCATTATTAATACCTGTGCCAAGAATCTTCCAATTCTAGTATTTTTTATATATTTAAGTAGAAAAGGGAGAATATTATCGAATAGCCAAATGTAAGTTATATACAGAGCTACCATTCTAATCCACATTTTTTCAAGATTAATTTCCCAAATTTTTTCAAGAATGCTTGTTAGCGGATTTTTAACTGTTTCTTCGGTGTGTACGTATTCTCCATTTTTTATTGCATTTTCTATTTTTTCCTGTTCAAATTTTTTGTCTATTCCATATGTTTGGAACATTTGGAGAATTTCAATTCTAGGGTCACTATAGTTCTTTATAATTAAATTGTGGAATGCATGTGTTTCAATTTGAGGGAGGTGTATTGGCTTTTGTAGGTCGAGTGTTAATTCATGTATTTGTTTTTCATTTATTTCTTTACTTTTTCCTGTCTTTTGATCAATCCTCAATAATTTTTTCCCAATAAATATAGTTATAAATCTCTCATATGAGCAAGGTGTTTCGCTTGCTTTCTCTACTATAGTTAATGTTTTTGGTTCAAGAAATGCTTTTATTATTTTTTCCTTTAACGTGACATTTACTGGAATCTCTTTGTAGCATTTTTCATTCGGTAGAAATGTGATGTTCTCATAAGGTATTGGAAAGCATGTTCTTGTTTCTAATATTTCATTGGATATCCATTTACCTAAGACATATGGTGTATTCATGATTAACTTAGCTACAATGTTGCTGTCGGTTCCACTTATTAATTTGTTTTGGTGTTCTCCGTTAATATCTTTGGCACAAAGGATACTAGTCAAATGGTTAAATACTTTTTTAACTTTCTCTGTAGAGAGTATTTCAGTGGCTGTTAGTTCTGCGGCTAATTGGTTACTCAAAATTAAACCGCTTCTTGTGTTTTTATTTTCTCGCTTTCTTCTTATTTTTTCTTTTAAGCTCAATATTTGGTATTGCTGCGCTGGTACTGCATAGCCTTGCTCGCTTATGATTAATTCTTTATTACAATCTATTATTTTTGTGGGGTTATTTGTAAATGAAATTCCTATCTCTTTATTATCAGCTAACCAAATTCTACCCATCCAAGTGCCTTTCCATTTCCTAACTCTTGAAAATTTACACATTTTTTCGTTTTTTTCTTTATTTTCTGCTTCCCAAATAATCAGTGAATCATCTTCTAAAAGACAAGCTGCGTTTTCATATCGGCAATGTGAAATATCAACTCCTGGGGAAAATATTGAAGATGAATCTGGTTTAGCGTAAATGCTTATTTTACTTAGGAAACAATTTGATTCGCTTGTTTCTTGATATCCGATTGACCAATAAGAGTATTCTATTTTCGCTTTATTATTTGTATGACTTGTATTTCTGTTTCCAGTTAATTCCCCTAATCTACATTTTGATTTTTTCCATATTCTGTTGCATTCTTCTATGCTTATTTCTTCTTTTCTGTTTGTCGAAAAAATGTGTGGTATGTTTAATAAATCCTTTTTGTATTTGTAATTTGTGCTTAATATGGAGCAATGTGCAGCTGGTATTGGAACAAGGTCTATATTTGGTTGATAGATGTCAAAGCTGTGTGTTGTAGGGAGAGGTGGATTTTCTGTAAAATTCACACAAGGTTGGTGATTTTTCTTTATTCTCCAATACATTTGATTTTTCTGTCCTGGGCATATCATTGGAGATTGTAGGAGACTTCCCGGTAACATAATTGCGAGGATGCAAAAAAGAAGTATATTATCCATAACTTTTCGCTTTTTATGTTTCGCTCTTAGTATGCTACTTTGTTCTTTAATCACCTCGTTTTCTTCATTTCTTGGGATCTCTAGGCTGTATAAATGGTTAGGTGGTCGAATTAATATTTTGCCATTTCCCAATTTTAATTTTATTGATCTGTTTTTGTTATTTTCTATTACTTTTCCAATTTTCCAGCAGCCTTTTGGTAACTTTTCATCATAAATTTGAACTATCTCACCTACTTGCGGGGTTCCTTTTGCCGAAAATTTGGGATTATTATGTTCATCTTTTCTTTCTCTTAACATTATTAGATAATTGATTGACCAGTATTCCCAAAATTTATTAATAATAGTATTGTGTTTTTTCCACTCAAAAACCATTTTTTCAGCCGAATCTGCGTTTGTAAGATAATCTGGGTCCTTTTCTAATAATATTGGTGGAAATCCCTGATGAGCGAACGGGTATGTGAAATCAATCGGTCGTAAAATTATAGTTTCTGGTTCATCGTCTATTTGGATTAATGGTCTACAATTTATGATGGCTTCGACTTCACAAATGAGTGTGTTAAAATCATCATTGTCTATTATTTTTCTTCCTATTGATTTCCTTATATTGGATTTTATCATTCCGTTGATCCTCTCATAGACCCCTCCCTCCCACGGTGCAAGTGGCGTTATAAATTTCCAATTAATGTTTTCTTCAGCGAAATACTTTTGTAGTCCTTCGTCGATTATCTGATCCGGTTTAATTCTTTTCAATGTTTTTTCTGCCAATCTAAAACTGGAACCATTATCCGATAATATATAGTCTGGTCTAGTTCTCCTAGCGACAAATTTTCTGAAAGCATTTAGGAATGCGTGTGTACTGATACTAGTAACTACTTCGAGATGGATGGTGCGAGTTGATAGACAAGTTAATAGCAAGATCCACCTTTTACTGCGTTCTTCGTCAATGTCTTTCACTATTATTGGTCCCATGAAATCTAACCCTGTATTCTGAAAAACTCTAGATGGCGTTATTCGTGATTCTGGTAGTGGTGGCATTTTAGCTAATTGGTATGGTTTAAGTCGCTGGCATTTTTCTAGACAACTTTTTAGAGTATTTTTTACGAGATTTCTTGCTCTAGGTATAAAATATGTCAATTTTAAATTGGCTAATGTTGATTGGAGACCCGAATGCTGTCTTGATTTATGCTCATTTAGTATTATGTGTTTTGTTAATGGATCGTTTCTGGGTAAATATATTGGATTTGCAAAATCATAGCCGTTTGGTAAGTTCTGAAGTCTAGTCTTGCACCTTAAAATGTGATTTTCGTCGTAGAATAAATTTAGCGTTTCTATTTGTTCTGTAGGGAGATTTTCTCGCGCTTGTGCTTGCTTGATTAATAATATTTTAGCAATTTTAATATCGTTCGCATCGAAGTTGCCTTTTATCTTGATTTTAGAGAGCCATGGTTGCTTTATTTTATTTAATTTCGACCAAATAGTTATATTAAGGAATCTAAGTATGAACATAGTGGTGTATATGAGTTTCCAAAAAGAGCTGTATTTCTCAACTCTTGGAATAAAGTCATTTTTCTCTCCTACGTCTACTAATTTGTAACATAACACTGGAGTTTGAGGTTCGGGTTTAATTGTGAATGATTGATTGTTAGGCCAATTCTGTTCATCTTTTCCTAACCATAAAGGTCCTTTCCACCAAAGACTATTTTTAGCTAATTCAGGGCCCGACGAACCTTTACTTCCAATATCCGCTGGATTCTCGTCCGTGGGAACATATCTATACTCGATTTCTTTATTTTGTCTTATTTCCATTACTCTATTATTTATGAAGGTTTCTTTATTTTTACTAGTTTTAATCCAAGAAGTAGCAATTAAAGAGTCGCTCCAGAGTATTGTTTTTTCTATTGGCTGTTTTATCTCATTGGTTACAAAGGAAATAGCTCTGGTTCCTATAAGAATTGCGAGAAGCTCCAATCTAGGGATGGTCAACGTTTTTTCTTTGCCTTTAGGAACAATTCTATTTTTAGCAAAAATTAGGCTTGTATTTGTTTTATGGGGACATGTAATTCTAAGGTATATATTTACAGCGTAAGCTTTCATAGAGGAATCAGCGAAACAGTGCAACTGTAGAATTTCGGTGTTATCACATCCATGGATTATTTTTCTGGGCCTGCTGAATTCCTGTTCTACCCAACCATCTATTATTTGATTTATTTCATTTAATTCGTTTTCTTCTAATTTATCATTCCAATTTATGTTACGAGCACAAATTTTTTGATAAAGAAGTTTAGCTGGAAGTAATGTTGGACCAATCAATCCCAGCGGATCGAAAATTGAGTGAATCAGTGACAGAAGTTCTCTTTTTGTCATGTTTTGATAATTACCCCCTGGTAGTTTTTGACAATACTCATCCTTTTCTATTTCCCATTTTATTCCCAGGAATTTAAGGGATTTGGATTCTATACTAGGGTGTTTGTCATCTTCTTCGAACATATTATTTCCTTCGACTGAATTGCAACAAAATTCTCTAACTCTCATTTTTGCTTGATTAAATATTTGAATTAATTCCTTATATTTTCCCTTTATCTCATCAGTATTTTTAGCCCCAAGAATTATATTGTCCATATACAGATTTGTTTTAATTTCCTCAGACAAAGGACTTTTTACTTTCTCGAGATGGTGTAATATTGTAGCAATTAGGAGAAATGGACTGGAAATGACTCCGAATAATACACGAGTAAATCTGTAACTGATTAAATTTGTGTATTCCGGTTGGTGTTTTATATCTTTCACCCAGAGGAATCTAGTAACGTCCCTATCTCCCGGTCTCAATTGGATCTGTAAAAAAGCTTTAGCAATATCAGCGATCAAAAGGTTATTGAACATAAGTGTTCTGATCAGTACGCCTGGCAATTGTGGAAGTAGGACAGCTCCTCTAAGTAATTCATTATTTAATGGTGTTTTTCCAGAACCTGCATCGAATACGACTCTTAATTTAGTGAATGATGAAGAACTTTTGAAAACAGGTTGGTGAGGGAGGTAATGGACTATGTTTGTGTTTTTTGGTGCTATTTCAATCATATTTAAATCCAACTGTTCCTTAATCGTTTTGTCAATTGCTTCCAAAACTTCGGGGTTTTCTCGGTATTTTTTCCAAAGAGATTTGAGTCGGCCTAATGAAACCCCAAAATTCGTTTGTAGTGTCCTTTTAGATTCGATTCGCCACGGCCAACCTACTTCATAGCGTCCATCAGGTAATTGGTTGATTGACTCCCTAAATTGCTTCCAAGCTATTTCATCATCTGGAATAGTCAAACCCGGATCTCTTATGCCAATAGTCTCAAGATTCCAAAAATCTTTTTCCTCTACTTTTTCAGTAATTTCTCCAACAGCAGACATTACGTATTGTGTTTCATCTTGTATTCCTGCTTCCCTTATTTTCGCTTTGCCGCAGATTATAGGTCCTACTTTTGTGCGGAGCAAAAATCTCTGCTTGGATAAATTTTCAATATTTTCTAAAAGGTTTAAGACGTCAGATAATCCAAAAAGTATGTCAGGAGTGCGTTGCTTTACTTCGATTTCTTTATCATCGTGTAACCAAAATTCCCTTGGATCACTGGGACAATAGATTTTCATTTGATCTAAGTTGGGTGTAGTATACCCTTCGGTAGAAGTAATAGTTCCATTTTTCAATTTAAACTCGATTTTGATCCTATATGATGTGAAGCGGGACTTGTTACCAGCGTATCCATCTACTTCGAGTTCAGTTTTATGTTTAATTTCCGAATCTGAAATCCCTAGTTTTTGTGCAAATCGCTCACTAATCAAAGTACAAGTGGCTCCTGGATCCATTAGTGTGAAACCTCTAATTGATTCTTTTCGACTATTTAAGTATTCAATATTTTTAGTCATGAGCAATGTTTTTATATTTTTGTCTTTCAGAGAGAGAGTGTTGATCTTTTCTAATTCCCTGTTATTTTGTGTACTATTTACTTCCATTATGTCTATCAGGCAGTTCATATCTTCTTGGGAAAATCCTGGATCTGTATTTGTATTCTCACCTGTGTTTTCTCTTATATTATGAATATTTTCTCGTTTGATTGTGTTTTTGGGACAGACAGCAAAGTAATGAGGTTGTGTGCAACTCTGGCATTTTATCTTATTATTTTTACAATATTTGGCAATATGATTCCGCTCGAAACATTTGGTACATTTTCTCAAATCTTTTAACCTTTGTATTCTAGTCTCAAAATTTATATATTTTTTACATTGGACGGAACTGTGATTATCGATCTCACAAAAGACGCATGGCCTTCTCTTTTTATTTGTTTCATTGGAATATCTATTTATTTCTGGTTTTGGTTCCCGCCAATTAGTGTTTCTATCCCTCTCTATATTATTAGTAAATACATTATGATTTTGGCGAGGAGGAGGGCGTCTATAATTCGATGAGGAACTTTGGCCATAAACCGCTTCTTTAATTTTTAGATGCTTGTCAATTGAATCTAGGAGTCGGTTAATTGTCCAGTTAGTGGGATTTTTATTTTGTTCTTCAAGTATGACACAACTAGCCCATCCCCCGAACTTGTTTTCAATTTGTTGTAGCAGGGCACCATTGTCGATTTCTTCCCCTAATGCCTTCAATTGCTGGGTGATTCGATGTACATTTATCCAATTTTGACGAACGTCTTCCGTTTTTAATGCCCGAGGACAAAGCTTATTTAATTCCCCATACAATGATCGTTTAACTGAGATCTCATCCCCAAATCGTTTCCTAAGATGGTTCACTACTAACGGATAATTTAAGGCTGTTATTGCAAATCCGCTCACTTCACTATAGGGATGAGGCCGAGCGAGGGAGGCAAGTAAATACGTTAGTTTTTCAGAATCGTCTAGACTATGATTTTTATCTATTGAAACTTCAAAAAGACTCCAGAAGCTTGGCCATTCCGAAACCTTTCCATTAAAGAGAGGAAGATTACAAACTGGCAGTCGAATAGAAGTCGAATGTGCAACCGATGTATTGGCGACAGAATTATCATTATGAGACGACGAGGAGACTTCAATCAGCTTAGCTTCGATTTCACAACTTAGATCCCTCGCTATTTCGATTAGGGCTATAAAACCATCCTCCCCCTCCGCGTGGGTGTTATAATCTTTCAACATATCCTCTTTCCTATCCTGCGCCTCGAGACCTATGAGCTTCGCCCAGTCTGTATTGATCTGTTCCAACACTTCTACAGATCTAGCTAATTTCAGTTGTTGTGCTCTCAGACTCGTTATGCTTTCGGGGTTTACTCCATTATCTGATAATTCTTTGATCGACTTTATATATCCAATGGTTCTTTTCCTGAGTGGACCTAATCTCATTTTAAGCGGTCCCGCGAAAGTGCGATTTGCCATTTATTATTTTAATTTTAAATACAATTTTTAGGTGTATATTAAATACAAAAAATTAAAAGCAATTGTGTGTATATGAATATTTAAATTAATACAATTGTAAGTTTGTTTAAATAGTATTAAATTAATTATTCTTTTATTCTTTAATTAGAGCGGCTAAACGTTCAAACAAAGCGGCACAAGCACGAGAGGTTTGTCCAATTTGCGAATACACTTCAGCAAGTTGTGCTGCTTTACGTACGGACTCCCCCTTCTTTTTTGCTTTGGCTATTTTCTCTGCTTCGCGCTTTTGTACTTCCAAGATTTGATTTTTCACTTCGGGCTTCTTTTGAGAAAAATTTAGTAATCTTCTTAGAAAGACTATATTCACCTTTGGACACGTGACAGGAGTCTTTGAATGAACACGATTGGGAATCACTGCTTCTGCTCGTGTCGTTTGATGATCCTGCTATTGGAAGGATTAGATTTGACCAGATAGCAGTAGTAAGAAGTTCAGCCCTTTTTGTTCTCCCAGCGATTACAATTCGGGAGTTTACCTTTTTGTTATTGTTGTCGTTCCGGGAAGAGTATGGCCTTTTATGAGCAGCGATCGGCGGTGAACGTCTGGCACTTCCAATTCTTGGAGTAGAGGGTGAACGAGGCCTTCGGGGAGTTTGCTGTTCAGCCAAGGCTGGTTTTGTTTTCACAGCAGTGTCCGACGGTGGGTTAAACCTAATCCAATTACAAGGTACACAAAATTTATTAATGGGGCAAAGAGTTTTCTTTACAACAACAAACTTTTTGTTAGGTGGAGGCCAATCATCATCATCATCAGAAGTATCTGTTTCAGTTGATTTGATATCTTTACTTGGAACAGCAATTGGCTTCTGGTTATTGCCACGAGTTGGATTGGAAGAGCCAGCAGTAGAAGACGAGCTTGTATTAGTAGTTGTGGCGCGACCGGAAGATGTACAATTTAGTTTATTAATTGATCCAGAATTTGTAGTAGTTGCTTCAGGGGTAGAAACAAATTTTTTCACAACACAAATTAAGCAGTTGCAGTTAGTGTTGTCGGAATGCACGCCTTGAGCCGAGGCAAGGATTTGTTGAAGCACAGCAGGTTTAATGGATTCCGCCACTGAAATTTGAGTTATTAGTAAGGTTTAGTCGAGGTGCCTCTCCCGGAGCACCACTTTGTCAACTAAAGGCTTACTTTGACAAATAAATTTTTAGGGAAGCTAGGTCCCAAGAGTTATTGAATAAAGTGAATTTAAATAAAATATTTATCTTTAAAATTAAAAATACAATTAAATATTTTTGTAAAGAATTAATGGAAAATTGAAAACTGAAGATGATAGGGAAGATCTGCCTATTGTTTATATAGGGGATTTAATGGACAATAGGCAGAGATTTACACAATAATGAATAGAGAAGTGATATGAAAAATAGTATTAACGAGGGGTGAAAAGACAATAGTTTCCGGAAAAAAGAAGAGAGAATAAAGGGTCAAAGTGGCAGCTTATGGGAAAATAATTTATGACATTGTCTGTCGTGGACAGGTGGAATAAAGGGAAAATTAGAAAGAAATATTTAAATTTATTAATAATTATAATTTCGTGTTCCTTACACGACAGACGCTTCTCAAAAAGCCCCTTGGCCCCTCTTTTTTCCCCCTTGGCCCCTCCTCCGAAAAAAATCCTGGCTACGGGCCTGCTTGGTTATCTCCTCCTTTTCTTTTTCTGATCACAAATTAATTCCTTTTCAAAATTTCTTCAGGCTGAAGAAATTTTCAACGCAAATCCAACCCTAATTATGGCTGTCAGACGTCCTGGCTGTTCTTTTTGCCGTAAAGAAGCTTCTCAAATTTGTTCATTGTCTAAACAACTTGAAGAAAAGGGCGTCAAAGTAATTGGTGTTGTTCATGAGACGCTTGGAGTTGAAGAATTTAGACCATTTTTGGGATGTTCTGATGCTTTGTATTTTGACCCTGAGGTTTTTTTTAAATTTTTGGGGGATTTTTTCTAAATGGTGTAGGATTAGGAATTTAAAATTAGGACTTCCATAAATCGTTTTGTCCAAAATTGACATTAATTTGTCTGAAATAATCGATGCTCACCCGTTCTTGAAGTGGCAAGCGCTTTTTAAAAATAAGTCTATAGTGCTTTGGAAGCTAAAAAATTGCGAATTTCTGGTTCCGTTTCCTGGTGGAAGCCATTTTCAGCAACCGATAACGCTAATCATCAAAAAAGTCGAGCTTGCCAGGAAACGGTTCAAACAGTTAAAAAAATTTTTTTGGGGCTGTAAAATTACTAGAAATAACTATAAAATTATAATTAAGACGGAAATGTTAAATAGAATATTTCTAAATTTGGTTGTCAAAAATGTTTTCATTTTATATGCAGGAAATTCGATTGCCTTAATCCGTTTCCCACTTTAGATTCTGTTAAAGACTTTGGGATGTTGTGACTTTAACGTAAACCCGGTGATTTTTCTTGAGTTGTTTTTCTGTTTGTCTCCGGATACCTGGGGAATTTCTTTGAACCTATAAAACCCTACTAGCGTTAAAATAAATTAAAATTCTATTTTTTAAAGAAAAAGTTTTTTGGACCTGAACAACGATGGCTGCCATTTTGGATGGGATTTTTGCGTTTGTCTACCTACATTAATACCTACAAAACAAAGAAAGCTGGATTTGTTGGAAATTTGGAAGGTGAAGGACGTCTTTTGGGAGGTTATTTTTTAAATTGTTTTTGATTAAAAAATTATTTTCTTTGGGGGAATCGAACCTGCATCCTCATTGACTAAATAAATTATGCCACTTAACCAAAGTGGAAAAATTTTTTTTCTTAATTAGTTTCAAATTTATTTTTCATTTGAAAAAAATTTTTCATACCGGGATCGAACCTGCGTCATTGAGAAATTACAAATTATCCCACTTAACCAAAACGACAAAAATAATTTTATACTTAAAATTGTAGGAATTTATTTGATCAACAAGGACAAAATGCTCTTCGCGCATTTGGAAAAAGAATGGGGAGATGAGCCTGAAACCCAACAACTGTTGGATGCACTTAATGACATTTAATTTGGACGTTTTACAAAGCAACGCCTTATTTTGACCAAAAATTAGTACTTAAATATATACTTTATGTTGATTAACTCAGGAATTTTTGAGGTTTTTAAGGTTATTTTGTAATTATTTTGTAGGTGGGGAGGGAAAGAAGCTCACTAGCTAGGCTATTTAAGAGTATATTGTTAAACGAGAGGAGCCCAGATTAACTAAGAGACGGTTTAGAGCACCAGTAATTTAAATGGGTGGAAAAATATTGGGTCAAAAGGTTCTTGGGTTTTAGATTAAACTTAAGGACACTGTTTTAATTTGTTTTTCCATTTGTGGACTACAGGGTTAGGAACGGGACATTTCCAGAAATATCAAAACAACATATTTTGGGAGGTTCTGGGAAATTAATTTTAATGATTAGAAAAAATTTAACAGCTAAAGTTTTTATTATTTGGGTACCATTTTTTCCCTAACATTTAAAATCTTCTCACAGATAAGGGCAAGGAGAGGGTATTATTACCCGGCAATCTGCAATAGATATATACAATGGCGGGCTAGAAATTTTTAATGGCATTATCAATACCAAATTCCAAATAATGAATACATTGGCATGAATACAACAGGGATATTTAATTATATATTGTGTGTTGTTGTCACATATTCAGTAAATTGATATTTAAATTTCTGATAGTTTGCTTCACCTACCCACTAGTCACAGTACGAATTTGGCTCGGAGAACTTTCACCGAACCAAATTCGTATTCTGATGGGTGGATAGGCGAAACGCAAAGCTCCATGAAACGTTTTCGATCAATATTTTTGTATTCCGTCCCTCCAAATAGTGAATCAATTTCAATGCTAAAATCAAAAGTTAATCTAATTTGAAAAAACCTCGCTTGAGTTGGTTTAGGAAATTCAGATTTTTCTTTTGTAAAGAAAAGAAGTTTCAAAGTCTCAGGTTTTATTTTGAGATTCTTCCGGTAATCGTTGATGAATTGTCCATAATGTGCCTAAAAATACTTTAAATTGAAAAACCAAATTAAAATCAAGCCTCTCGATTGTCAAAATCCTCAAGGTGGTTTTCAATTTAAAGTATTTTCATTTTATTTCCTCCTTTGCAATTAGAAGCATTTGCGGTAACCAGAAGTAGTTTGTTGTGTAGTTGAAAGAGAAGAGAGAAGCATAGCAAGTGTGCTTCTCTATGCTTCTAACTATGCTTCTCTCTTCTCTTTCAACTACACAACAAACTACTTCTGGTTACCGCAAATGCTTCTAATTGCAAAGGAGGAAATAAAATGAAAATACTTTAAATTGAAAACCACCTTGAGGATTTTGACAATCGAGAGGCTTGATTTTAATTTGGTTTTTCAATTTAAAGTATTTTTAGGCACATTATGGACAATTCATCAACGATTACCGGAAGAATCTCAAAATAAAACCTGAGACTTTGAAACTTCTTTTCTTTACAAAAGAAAAATCTGAATTTCCTAAACCAACTCAAGCGAGGTTTTTTCAAATTAGATTAACTTTTGATTTTAGCATTGAAATTGATTCACTATTTGGAGGGACGGAATACAAAAATATTGATCGAAAACGTTTCATGGAGCTTTGCGTTTCGCCTATCCACCCATCAGAATACGAATTTGGTTCGGTGAAAGTTCTCCGAGCCAAATTCGTACTGTGACTAGTGGGTAGGTGAAGCAAACTATCAGAAATTTAAATATCAATTTACTGAATATGTGACAACAACACACAATATATAATTAAATATCCCTGTTGTATTCATGCCAATGTATTCATTATTTGGAATTTGGTATTGATAATGCCATTAAAAATTTCTAGCCCGCCATTGTATATATCTATTGCAGATTGCCGGGTAATAATACCCTCTCCTTGCCCTTATCTGTGAGAAGATTTTAAATGTTAGGGGAAAAATGGTACTCAAATAATATAAACTTTAGCTGTTAAATTTTTTCTAAACATTAAAATTAATTTTTTAAGGCCTCCCAAAATATGTTGTCCGTTATTTTGATATTTCCGGAAATTTCCCGTTCCTAACCTTGTCGTCCACCTAGCCACCTGGTGATAAATGCCATTGTGTCCCAGGTTTTGGAAAATTCCTGAAATTTGATTATTTTAAATTTACTGAATTTTTCTATTTTTAATTTGTATTTTGAATGTTGTGACTTATAGGGGGTTTTTGTTGGCTGGACCGATTTCGACAAATGAGGTGTCATTCGAAAGAGCTCGCCGAGCTGAGTCGATCCCGCGGGGGAAGAAGTCGATCCGACAATCAGGGACCGAGTTACAGACCCCTGAAGTTTGAAAAAGAGAAGGGGGGAGTAAGCTCATTTTGGGGTGAAAAATTCGAAAATGCAAATAATAGCTCATTCGACTCGGCTCGTCGAGCTGAGTCGAATGGCACCAAAATCGGCTCGATACCTTGATTCTGAGCCAAGATAAACAGGTTCAAAATGGTCAACATAAACCTATGGGGCATAGGCGAAGCGCTTGTGCGAAACCCGCGCTTCGCGCGGGGTTTCGCGGCACGCGCCTCGCGGGGCGTCAACGGTCGCTGGGTCTGGGTCGGTAACATAATCCTATTCCTATCATCGATGAGTTGGGCATACTTGGCTTCCTCCGCAGCACCAAAAACTCCACGGGCGCCTTAGGTAAGGAGCTAAAAGAAACGATCATAACTTTGTCCAATCAAGTCGGATTTCGGTGATTTTAGTGTCATTCGACTTAGCTCGACGAGCCGAGTCGAATGAGCTATTATTTGCATTTTCGAATTTTTCACCCCAAAATGAGCTTACTCCCCCCTTCTCTTTTTCAAACTTCAGGGGTCTGTAACTCGGTCCCTGATTGTCGGATCGACTTCTTCCCCCGCGGGATCGACTCAGCTCGGCGAGCTCTTTCGAATGACACCTCATTTGTCGAAATCGGTCCAGCCAACAAAAACCCCCTATAAGTCACAATACCCTGTATTTTTAATCAACATTTAAAAAAAATATTTTAAATAAATAAAAGTAAAAATGTTTGAGGATCTTCAAAAGATTGTTTTATGATTTTATAGGACAGGAGTTTCCGGTTTTTTATTTCCCGAACAGTGTTGGACATGGCTGCGGCTGGTCGATACTCCCAAATTCAACTTTCATAATTTTTTTAAATTTATTTTTAAAGTTACTGTATGGTCCGAACTCGACTGTGAGAGAATTGTGATTTCGGGAAATGTCCTAGAAATAATTGGACTTGGAGGAGGAGGACGGGACCACCCTATTTAAAATAAAATAGGGTCGTGGGCCTATTAAAAAAATAGGGCCTATTAAAAATTAAAAAAAAATCACAAAAGTACATAAATTAAATTGTTCCGTTATTAGAAAGTTCTTTTACCTTTATTCTTTTTTATCACTAAAAATATAAACTAAAAAAAATATAAAATAAAAAATCTAACCATTCAAGGAAGAGAAGAATGTGTGTGTGTTTTCCTAAATAAATATAAAAAATATTAAAAAAAATATAAAAAATTTGTGTTCTTTTCCTTACTTCCCCGCCCTCTTAATTATTTAAATAAATAAACAAAAAAATTAGTAAAATTTTCAAAAAAAAAAATATAAAAAAAAATTTTTTTTGACCTTTTAAAAACAATTTTTTAATGCTTTATTCATCCACTTTGAACAATTTTGTTTCTTCTTTCTCAGAAAACAATAATTTTGGTGTTGATACACTGCAAGAGGATGGTGTTCCCCGACAATTTTTAAAAACTTTCGAGGTCATTTATTTTCATTTTTTAAGTGTTTAGTTGTATAAGGAAAAAGGGCGATACTGCTGTATTAAGAGTAAGACCTGCTCATGGACACGGATATGGATACAGATCCGTCTGTATCCGCCATAAATATCCGGATATTAAAATCAGTATCCGTGAGCAGGTCAGGTAGATTTTAAGATCAAATAAGAGAAGGTGAATGCAGCACACCATGGTAGTTCAGTCTGTAGGGCACCTTTAATGTGGTGGGCGTACGCTCCTAATACAGATTTTCTTGTTGCTTAGGATAAAGGGTTAGCGAAAGAGTCAAACCCGGATGGCACACAGTTGTGCTTTTTTCTTCTTTAAACGATGACAGACTCTTGGATTTTCGGGATTAAATCCCTCAGAATCTCCCTTTCAATTTCTAAAACTCCGATTCGTTAAAGGATCTATAGAGATTTTTAAAAGAATTTTCAAAAAATTTCTTAAATTCTTTTTCAGAACGATTTGACAGCGCCTCCAACACAATCCTTTCCTTTTTTAACCAATACTAATGCTTCTGCTTCAAATAAAAATACAGCTACAACAACGTTAAATCAGAACAATAAATATTATTTTAATCAAACAGAAAAAGAAGAAAAATTTTGTTCTGAAAATGGAAGTTGTTGGTGGTTATTACCTCCTCCTAATTCCCCTTATAATTCCCCTTCTGATTTTATTTCCTCCCCAGAAAAAAATATTTCTTCTCCAGATTCGAATATTTCTAATATTTCTTCTTGTAAAATCTTTGGAGTAAGTCAACAAAATTCTTTTGAATTGGACAAAAATAATGAAATTCCTTTGGAAGATTGGGAATTGACTAGGCTTACAGTGAGGGAATTAAATCAAAAATTGGCGGTGAGAGAAAAATTGAATTTTTGAAATTTTTTTTGTAAAGGGAGGCGTGGAGAGAGGACATAAGATACAAACGACCTCGTTCTTACATATACCTAAAGCACATTTTTAAGTACGATTTTCAAACTTTGGGTTTGTAAATAACTTGGGAAAGCTTCTTAGGTGATATCTCCTGTTTTTGTACACCTCGTCTTTACATGCGTTTTTTAGCCAAAGGGCTACGTAAAACCGAGGGTTTTGTGGAGACGAAAAAATATAAATCCAGTTGCCCTCCATTCTATAAGAACCAAGACACGTGCACGCTCACTTTTAGTTATGATTTCTGAAATATGGGTAAGCATTAGGTTAGGGAGTTGCCTAAGCAATGACCCCTAGTTTTAAGT